ACTGAAGAAGAAGAGAAATAGAAGAGATAAAAGAGAAGAGAAGGATAAGAGAAGAAAAGAAAAAAAAAGATGTGCAACTGACATGTGAGCCCCACATACTTTTTAAATTTTTTTTTGCTGGCTAGGATGCCACGTCAGCGAAACCACCCACATATACTGTCATGGGACCTCCTTTGAACCGTTTGTGTGAATTTAGGGGTATACATTTCTCGTTTTGTGGTTAAGGGACCTTAAAAAAGCTCGCTGTTAAGTTGAGGGATCTCCGGTGAACTTATTCCTTCCAGCACGTGGATGATCGCAATTTCAGCCCATATATGATCCACCTTCGGCCCATAATTTTGCGGAATCCGACCGGTAAGTGCTTTGAGTTTTTCTCCTTGCCAGAGTTCATTTCTCGCCACCGCGCCGCCGCGGCCACATCCCGAAGCGAAGCCCTGTCGGCCTCCGTTGGTTTCACGGCCGCAAGGTGGAGCCGCGGAGGTTGGGAGGAGAGCGAGAGGAGGAAGAACAATCGGCCCGGCTTGTGGTTCCGCTTCCGCCGGGAGTCACCAATCCAATCCCTAATCCCGCGCTTCTTACTCTCCGCCATCTCCATGCTACGTTCAGGCCATCGGCGGCGGCGGCAGCACGATGCCGAAGGAAGTGAAGACTCGTGCCAACCGTATGCCCGTCTCTCTCTCTCGATCAATCGGTTTCGATTTCTATGATTTCCTTCGAGGTATAGAATTTCTTCTCATCGTTGGAGCATGTTCAACTTCAGGTGTCGGGAGGAGGAGGAGGAGGAGGAGCATGGGGGCTGAGACTGCATCTGTAGAAACCCTTGGTCTACACTAGCATCTGCATCCCGACCACTCCGGCCCATTGTATGATCAACGCCACCCATCCCTCTCGCTCCATCATTATGTTTTGTTCCAATTGATTGTCGATGGGGATTTCTATGATTTTTGGGTGGTTGGGAACAGAAGGCTCAAGTATTATGTATTTTAGTTGGGTTCATGTTACAAGTTACGGATAATTTTTTGGCCTGAACCAGTTTTACTTGTTTGTTAATCTGTATGTTACTAAATTGTTACTTGTTCGGCTGTGATATCCATCTCTTTGCAAATTATACTGCTATATCATGCAACGCTTAATCACATTCGTGAGATAACTTACATCTCATGGTGGTGATATGGATTGTGCATCTCCTCATATAAATTGTTCTTCTAATCATTGAGCTTGCTTCTTCCACTCATTGAGCTTGCTTCTTCCACTTCAGGTGTGCAGAGAAGGGGCATGCAGATGCAGCATCTGCACAAACTCTGCTGGAGGTATCGTCCATAATTTTTGATTCCTCATCCTCTTCTCAGCCAAAGGCAGTAGCAGTAGCTCAGGATACCATTGAGTTCTCCGAACCATCAAGGCGCTGCCTTTCCTTGTCTCCTATCTCACGCATTTGGTCCCGGCTGATGTGTCAATGGGGACTCACATTTTACATCAGGGTCGATCTGCAGGATCTGTCCACACATATCCTGATCTGGGTGGGCCATTCCCAAGCTTACAGGAAACTCACAATGCTATCGATCGCCATCTTGAAGGCCGTCGGCATCCAAAACTGTAAAGTTCCTCAACTGTGCTCTAGATTTTTGTAGGTTGATTTCTCCTGTTTTATGCGCACGCCTGCAGTTGATTATATCCTCGTAGTGTTACATAGCCAGTTAGCCACGTGCTTTACCAGTGTAGGCCAAAGAAGATAATCACAAGCTTTACAATATGAAAACGGATAAGGGTGGATTGGCCTTAAGTTTGTTAAGCGTCAACATTGGTTGATAATAAATGCAGCATTTATTGTTTTTTCATATTCCTGTCCTGGTACCAGTATTTGCTTGAATTATTAAAATAGTTCATAGATCCATTAGAGCAAGTTTAATAGTATAGCCCACTACTAACTCCAAATCATCTATAGCCAATGTAATAGCCAATTCATACAATAGTTGCTTAATATACTATTAATACCTGGTCCCACCTGTCATGTGCATTACGTCTTGGAGTCCGTGCTGCAGCTGACTACAGATCTGTAGCCCGCTACTTTTTTCTCTATTCATTTATCTCTTTAAAATATGTTTATAGCTGGTAACCTGCTATTGTACCTACTTTTACTATAGCTGAAAGCTAACAAAGTACATAGTGATGTTATCCCACCATATTGTATGCAGGTATATTTTTATATTAATAGTAATTTGTGCGATTGATTAGCTTATAGCCAGGAACATTAACACAACTCTGTTTCCTCAGGCACTAATAAAAAATTGTGATAGACAAAGGGTCAAAGCAGTGCTGATAGAACACAATTAGTTTGAGATCTGAAAATGGCAGAAGGCATACCTTTTTTTTAATTAAGATTGCATTGGTAACTTGTGAGTATATTAGAGGCAACTTTGGAACTGTTTAACCCTTATTCAACCCTTATTCAACAACCCTCCATCCAAACTAGTTACCCTGATCCTATGTCAGGCTGATAATAATTGAAAGAGTACTGGTAATTGCTTTGTGTTCTCCACTTTTGAGAAAGTACGATCTACTAATCATATATGATGCTCTGGTCCAAACTAGGTGGCTGAAGCAAGATGGTGTTTCTGATATGGATATTATTGTAAGGCAAAGCATTTACTGGCCTGATGGCTCAATCAAGAAGCGTACAAAATCATATGCAACTGAGAAGACCCATAAGAGAATGTGCCAATTGGTTCAAGCTTTAGTGGACAAGTATAATGAGGATCACAATCTTTTTGGGGTTTGTTCTCTCTCTCTCTCGCGCGCGCAAGCCTGCTGTTTCTTATTTGCCTTATCATTGACTATTGCTGATCATGTTCAATTTTTTATTTTTATAGGATCTGGCACATATGCTCCAAGATGTTTTGCACTACCAATCAGTTCGTGACAAATTTATGGGGTACTATCATCTCAATTTCACTACAAAGACTAAAGAAGCAGATGATTTAGATGCTGGCATCGACAATCTATTCTTTGTGGAAATCAGACGTTCGGGAAGAGGAAAACATGAGGAAATGTTGGTCAACTGTTTCTGCATGGTTAATCCTACTGACAATGGTATTATTCTATATCCCCATCTTAATTTTTATTTTTGAACTACAGTATGTGGTTCTCACCAACCTGAACTTAGATATTATTGTAAATGTGTTCTTGGAGAAATGCCCGGGGTCTTCCCGGCTAGCAACGCAAGCTGCGAGCTAGCCGGTCCGGGTTCGAGCCTCACCCCCTCCTTAATTCAAAATCAATCTAGTCCTTCCTAGATTGGTCCCATTTTTTTTAAAAATGTGTTCTTGGCTGTAGTTTATGGTGTGTGCTTTATTTATCTGTTTATTTGCCCCTAATGTATTGTCATCCATTTTTCTTAAGCTTTATATTTGCAATGTCTCGAGTTGGTTCATGCAGATGTGTAAACCTTCAATTTTCTACTATCATGTGTTTGTGCCCTGTTTGGTCACTTGGCAGTTAACTCTCTGCTGCTCTTCTTTTTTTTTTTAAAGATGAAGATAAGATATGCTATGGTTGTGCCAACCAAGGAAGTGTTGATATGAAGCACCCTGACCCTTGCAAATATGATGGTGGTCACTTGGATATGGGTAGGCCATTTGAATGTGTTGAAGAGTGGAGTGACTCTGAAGATGATGCTGAATATGTATGATGATTTTTCTCCTGGCAAACTTAACCTTTTTTTTCTTGATTCAGTGTTAATTACATGCGTCTCCTCCTCTCCTGCAGGTGAAAACTAAGGAGGCTAAGATAAGGCATATGTACGAGGTAATTGTCATATTTTGGGCGGTATGGTACCATCATGTTGGTTAACTGATTTTTGTGTATTTTGCGTTCTCTCTAGGGCCTTTGATGATCCAGGTGTTGTGGAGGAACTATCCACCGACTGAGGATAGCGCTAGAGTGGAAGTCTAAAGAGGGCGTCAGAGTGAAACAGACAATCCCTCGCACCTTTTTGTGGCTTAAGATTGTACATTTCGCCATCAACAAATCTTTCAATATATGTTGACATACCTAGGTTGGTTTCAAGAGAGACTGAAAGATGAGCAGAAGTAGAACACAGGCACACAGTTACTATTGTGCCGGATTCTGCTCCGGATAGTAGTAGTAGATCCACGTTGTATGTATGATCCACCGTGGCGTGGCTTTGAAGAAAGGTAGTTTTTAATTCGTCTCAAACATCCTGACCTTTTTCTCTAATGGAAGATTTGAAGAAAGAGTGTATATGTGTGCATTGCTAGCTAAACTTCTCGCGATAAGCCGATCACAGCTACATCATCAAATGATTAACTAGTGTTATGCCCGTACATTGTAGTAGGATCTAAAAGAATACATAACAATAGTTTTATATGGCTTAGTTTTTTTATTTGGTTTTATCATCAGTCGGTTAATTTGAGGAGATGCGGTAGTTTTTTTGGTACTGCGTGCGGTGGGGTAGGAGTAGGAGGTTTCTTTGTTTTTTAGAAACACAGATATTCCTTCTTATTTTTCTGGCCCCAAACCAGTGTTTAACAATTGCTTTCGGGGCTGTTTAGATTGATTGTAGCCAAAATAAATTTTACTAAATTTTGCCAATGCTAAAATTTTGGCAAGTTGACAATATTATCAAAATTTTAGCAGGAATTTTTATATATTTACTAAAGTTTAGTGATAAACTAAATATAGACACTTTTTTAACATCTTTACCAAAAATAGTATGGTTGAAAATGACATCAATTTGAGAACATCCTCTTCGTTTTGTTTGCTTTGTTTGCTCTTCATCTAACGTAAAGGATTCTGACGGACAGCAAGCACGCCGGCTAAAAGTGACGGACAGCAAAGCCGGTGGCGCGCGAGCGCCATTGCCACGAATACGCGGCCCATAGAGAATTTGGCCCAGAACGTTATTGGAGGCCCGTATGGTTTGGGCCGTAAGGTGATATGACGCCTCTGGGACGACGAGGAGAGATATCGCGCTAAGCCGTCTCCGTCTTCCCATTCCCGTCCCTCTCCCTCTTCCAGGATCGATCCAAACCCTAGAAATCGCCACGTTTCATCCACCCCGCCAACCCCATGCCACCGGTTCGCACGTACGGCCGGCGCCAGCGCCGGCGCCGCGGCAGCCGTCTCAGTCCTACTCGCTCGTGCGCACCGTATGTCGTCCGCCTCTCTCGATTATTTGCTTTCTGTTTGGTTCGGAACGATCCAGTCGAATCCGAATCGTTTTGTTTATCTGTTGCTTGGATTGGATTGAAGTTACGTATATAGACCATCCCATCCTGATTTTGTTTTCTTTGGTGACAATTTCTTCACTCATCTTCGCTTGAAATTGTTACACTTCAGATCATGTCAGGAGGAGGAGGAGGACCATGTGGTTGAGACTGCATCTGCACAAACGCATGCCGATCCGCCGTATGACCACCGCAGTCCCTCTCCCTTATCATTCTTTTTGTGTTGCTGATCTAGTCCAAGGGTATACTTAGGTCTTTTTCTGTTGCTGTCTTGCTGATCTAGTCGAAGGTTATACATAGGCCAAATGGTTATGAAGGGTTGGATTCTTGGATGGTTAGGGAGAGAGGGCTCTCGTATTGATCCCTATGTATTTCAGTCGGATATAGTTACCAGAAGATTTTTGTCCTACACCAATCCCTATGTATTTCAGTCGGATATAGTTACCAGAAGATTTTTGACCTACACCAATTTTTCTGTACAAAGCTAGGAAATTCTTTTTTTTTCTTGTGGGGCTCTATCAATTCAATGTCGAATTATAAATGCTATAGGTTTTTCAGACATTTTATTCCTTAATATACAGTCGTTTTGTGGGGCAATGAATTCCATTGTATATGTGGCCTTTTTCTTTCTGATGCATGAGAGTAGCTTCAGTGGCCGTTTTCGTACAGGAGATTAGTTAATTTATTTTTACTTACACAGCTGTTTTCGTACAGGAGATTAGTTAATTTATTTTTACTTACACAGCTCATGTTCAACATTTGCAGCTGTATCATGCCAATTTGTATTTAACTTGTTGCTTGTGATATCCACCTCTTGCAAGTTATGCTGCTATCATATAATTTAATTTCTTTTTCTATGCTTAGTTGAACTCACTTTTAGGACCCAACTGCATTTTCTACATTCCTAAGCACTGTTTTTCACTAATAATGAATGTTACTCCCTCCGTCCCATTTTACAGGGTGTGATATATTTTTTTATAAGACCAAGAAAACTGGTCGTGAGGAAAACAAATACTCTCTTACCCCTAATTAATCGCAAGCATGCAACAACTTCCCACGGCATGCAGAATTGATTCTGTTGGTAATGCGGATTTGATTTGCGCAACTAATTAGTTCTTCCCATCTTCCCAAAGCATTCAACGGCGCATGCGAAAGGATAATTTCGGGAAAAATCACAATAAAAGATCATGCACCCTCTGTTTTGGGACGACATAGAAAAAAAAATGTGCGCCCTCTAATCTGCGGCGGAGGGAGTACGAGTGACAACTGTTTTCACTAGTTTTTCTAGAATCTGATTATGGTGGTTTGTTGTTTCTCAATCTGATCTAAATCATGGACTTAGCTTCAATTTGTAGGAACTGCTTTTATGAATTTATAGTTATGCATGATTTGCCATGCTACCAAATTGAAATGACACCATTACAGTTAGGCATGCAAAATTTGTTTTGACACTGTAAATTGTGTATTGGGTAAGTGTGATGTTCTACATTTCAGCCCATTAGTAAGTTAATTTGTATAATATTCCCTGGTATCATGTGGATTAGCCACTTATGTAGAGTTCTTCTCAAATATGGTAATAGGCCAGTAAGAATACCAGAGATATGCAACAGAAAAAAACGGTCATTGAATGGACAGCTGGCATCTGTGAGCCTATTTATGTTTTCTGTGCCTGTTAGTATGCTTTCTTGTTGACAAACCTGATTCGTTGGCTTTTAACTGTGCCAAAAAAAAATCCGTTTATGCCTGCAAAATGTATCGCAAAATATTTCCTATTTTAGATAGATAGTTCCTTCAACTTTGTCATCTCACGGTGGTAATATGCCTATGGTTTTTATGTCTCCTAAGATAATAATAAATTCTTCTTCTACTCATTTAGCTTGCTTGTTCCATGTCAGGTATGCAAAGGAGGGGCATGTGCCATCTTCCATCACTGCTACTTCCTCATCCTCTCAGCAAGCAGATGCAGTAGATCAGGACACCGAGGTCTGGCCACCATCTGCAAGCTGCCTTTCCTCATCTCCGGCATCACGCGTTTGGGCTCGACATGTGAAAGATTGGGGACGCATATTTTACATCAGGGTTGATCTTCAGGGATCTTTCCACACATATCCTAATGTGGGTGGGCCATTTCAAAGCTCACAGGAAACTGACAAGGCTATTGATCGCTATCTTGAGGACCATTGGGATCCAAAAATGTAAAGTTCCTCAACTGCTATTTAGATTTTTTATTATTTCATTTCTTTTGTTTGATGTGTATGCTTGCAGCTGATTATATTCAAACAAGGCTACATGGCTGATGGTATAATAGTATAGGTGATGGAACATAATGCAGTTTTAAAAGTATGAATCATGAAAACGACGAATGGCCTTTAGTTAAACTACATATAAGTTGACACATTGATTAGAAGAAGTACAAGCATATGTTAGTTTTTAAAATTCTTGTTTTGAGAGTAATTAAAGTTAATGGAAAATTTTACGACTGTACTTCTGTGGGAGTTGCTGAAATATTGCACAAGTCATTAGCATAGCTGAGAATTATGAAGTGCATATAGATGTTATGGCACCGCTTTGTTTGTAGCTATATTTTTGTTTTAATTGTAATTTATATGATTGGTTAACTTGCCCTCAGCAGTAAAGAAAAAAAAGATTTACAAACAATAGGTTCCAAACGAGCTGGGGATCTAGAATGACAGAAGGGATTTCTTAGAAAAATGCCGTGGGAACAGGCTTGTAAACAGTCATTTCATTCTTTTGTTTCGGTTTTTGTTACCACCGTAATCTATTTTAGAGGGTCACTTGGGTGCTTTTGATGCAAGCTAGGACTGATAACATTGAATGAGTTCTTGGTATTATTTTGTGTTCTCCATTTTTTTTGGAAGTACAATCTACTAATCGTATCGGATGCTCTGATTTAAACTAGGCGCATGGGGCCAGATGATAATGTCTCTACAATGGATAAGGTTATACGGCGATGCCTTTACTGGCCTGATGGCAGAATTAAGAGGCATACAAAATCATCTTCGACTAGGGCAGCCAATAAGAGAATGCACCAATTCATCCAAGCATTAGTCGACAAGTATAATGATGATCACAATCTTTTGGGGGTTTTCTCTCTCTCTCTTATCTCATTCTCTGTCCTTCTGCTTTGGTTGCACTGTCTTATTTATCTTATTATGTAGGATTGCCTATCTGATCCATCCTTTTTATTTTAGGATTTGGCACTTAAACTCAAAGATGTTTTGCACTACCAGCCAATTTGTGAGAACCATATTTGGTACTATCATCTCAATTTCACTGCAAAGACTAAAGAAGCTGATGGTTTAGACTCTACTAGTGACAATCTGTTCTTTGTGGAAGTCAAACGTATGGGAATAGGAAATTATGAAGAAATGTTGGTCAGCTGTTTCTGCATGGTTAATCCTGATAATGGTATAGAGTACTTCTATCCTAATAAAGTACTGTTAAATTACTGTTGGTCTCGCTGCCTTTGCGATATATACTTGTAAATGTTTTTTTGTTCATAATGTAGTACTGTACTATAATTTTACTTTATTTAATTATCTTTTTGTTTCCCCTTGTGCCATTTCATTCATTATCAATATCCATTTCATCGCACATGTGTTATTTATCTTCAATTATTTGATTACTATTGGGTGCGTGTGTCTGGTTGATTACTTGGCAATTAACTGTCCTTTTCTTTTGAAATTAAGGTAAACCATGTAAAGGTTGTACCAACAATGGAACTGTTGACATGAAGCACCCTGACACTGATGAATACTTTGCTGGCCACTTGGATGCATATTTGCCTTTTGGATGTTTTGGAAAGTGGAGCGACTCTAATGACGATGATAAATACGTATGTTGATTTTGTCTGTTGGCAACCTTACCATTATTGTTCTCGAGCATGAGTTTCCCCTCTTTTACAGGTGAAAGCTAGGGAGGCCAAGTTAAGGCATATGTACGAGGTAATGTCATGCTTTTTTTTTTAAGGGAGAGAGGAGAGGGGGGGGGAGATAATGTGATGTTTTTGTGCGGGATGGTACCGTCCACGAATGGAATGTTCATTAACTGTTACTCCCTCCATCCTAAATATAAGGGATTTTGATTGGATGTGATATATCATAGTATAATGAATCTGAATCTGTACATGAAGCATGTCCAGATTTATTGTATTAGGATACGTGACATCTAACCAAAATCCTTTATATTTAGGGACGGAGAGAGTAGTAACTCCTTGTGTATTTGTTGTCTTCAAGGCATTGATTATGATACACTTGTTACGAAGAGAGTATTCACACTCCCTCCGGGTGTGACTATTGTGGAAGACTAAAAATTAAGGGATGGAGGAACTACTCACTCCATTTGGGTGAAACGTCGCAACACGTGCAGAATGTCGGTATCTATGAAACACAATGTCGATCGGTATCTAAAATATGATACGTCTGCTATGTATATATCTCTAATGTCCTTGGTTTGCATGGGTTATATCCGTTGGCGTGCAGCTCACTGTGATGAGATTTGCATGCCTTGCTGAATTTGGATGTTTGGAGATAATTAATTTCTGTGGACTGAATGCCTGCACTACACCTGTTTGCGCATGATCACCGTAGGCTACTTCATACTGTAATTCCAGCCAATCCAAGTTAGGACCTACTTTGCTTATTTACTTGGGTCATTTGTCTGGTGATAGCACTAAGTAAAACTCGTAGCATACTAACCTTTCATAGCGGACTAAGCGGCGAACGTCAACACACGTTTAACAACTACAATCACTACCGCCTATAATCAGCATGTTCGCTTGCCCGATTGAACGCCAAGTATTAGTCGCCCTACCCTGTTCATGTTTTGCTGCCTCGCAGTACACTCCGAACTTTTCAACTCTCAAACTATGTCTCCACCTATAACATAACAATTTAGTACTGTATGAGATATATTCTAGTACTATGAATTTAGATTAGAATATGTCTCGTCTGGTACTGAGTTACAATATTATGAGACGGAGTATCAATGTCGGTATTAGATTACAATATTATGGGACGAAGAGAGTATCAATGTCGTACCACCAACTTTTCAAGTCCCAAACTAGTTCCACATAAACTCCGATATGGATATATTGATACGACATACCCCAATACGTTTTATTTTTTACAAACATGGATACATGATACGCCTATACATAATATAATGAATAAAATTAGTAATGGGATTCTACATGGAGTGCCTTAAATTCTAAGAAGTGGTAGATAATTGGACCGAGATGTCTTTGCAGCGAGTGCGGCCCACCTTGTTGGACCGGAACTTGATTTCTACCATCGTGCGGCCCATCCTAGTTGGGCCAGAACTTGATCGCAACGAACATGTGGCTCGTCATGCTGGGCCGGAATGTGACGGCACGCGCGTCATTTGCCCGCCAAAATAGGGAAAAAAAAAAAGAGACACAGGACTAATTCATCAGTTGATGCGTTGCATTATTGCATACTTGCATTTGAATTTTGAGGATAAGCTCTTCTTTAGAATGGAGATCTTTTTAAAAAAATATATATTATAGAAATTGAATTAATCCTCCTAAAGTTCCTATAAGATTTCTACATTCAAAGAAGTTTTATGCAGACAACTTATTTTCAGTGTTGCGACCTGAAAACCTGAACGATTGAAGATGCAAAATTCATACTTATTTCTTCTGCGATCACATCTACATCGATCACCAGCAATTAATCCATTGCTGTTTTGACAACACGATGCATATGCTCCCAAATGTAGGTAACCCTTGGTTGAGCCCACACCATTAGCACCACACACATGTCAGTGCTTCCGCTGTTGCCTTTGCCTACCAGTCACGACTCACGAGTGCTGGTACAGCTACAAGCCATGCTTAATTACCTTCCAATTAATTTTTTGTTCTAAACTCTGATATTTTGTTTGTCAGAAACCAATTTTTTCTCCGCATACTGTGATAGCACTAATTTTTAGTATCTGTTCTTCAGAGTTCAGACAAGCACAAACTAACGATAACATCTTTGCATACTGCTCAATGCTCACCAGTCACCTTCTCTCTTCCCATAATTAACGAAAATATCCTGGGATTAAGTACTGGAAGTGTGTGATCAGTGAAATGCTTGTGAGTATCGTTGGATAAATTGGACTGATTCTTCTACTCGTAGCACGTATACTAGCATCGTTGTCGATGTAGGCCAAGGAAAGACAATCGGGCAAAGAAATTGAGACTCTAATTATAGGGTACGTGTGCAGGAGCAGTTATGCATCACTGACCCCAGTGTCATTTTCCTAAGTTTTTATCTGCAACATTGCAGGCTACTAGCTTAGACACCTGTCCTTCATTGTCCAGCCACATGAGCGCCAATCTTGACAAAATAAAACATATCCATCCAAGGAAGCTGATTTAATTTGCTGGAAATGCTAAGTATGGACGGAAGTTTCCTAATAGAATCTATCTTTGATATTCCCTATAGTTAAGTTTATTTTTGTTAGAGCATTTACTGCTTTGTGGTGTGGTAAATAAGGACTATACAATTTACAATGTTGTAATAAGTAATGGCAGCTTACATCATATGATGCAGGCTGGGCTTTTTATTCTATCATAAGACAAAAAAACTAATCTTGCACTTGTTATCCACGGTGCCCAAGTGATGGTGCCCAGTGCTGCACTGCCCTAATAGCATGAACTACGCATAACTATGATAAGCTCAAGTAGCATCTTCCAGTTCTGGGTTCGATTATCCGTTTGAGCGTTTTAGGCTAGATTAAAACGGTCATTTTGTGGCCCTTTTATAAAATCAGGCATGTTAAGAATCGATGAATAATGGGTGAGTCCTCGTGTGGGCAGTGGCGGACCCAGAAAAAATACACTGTGTATGCCCATTCTAGTGATCACTCTACTATATATTTTTTTAAAGAAAATACCTAATTCTGATGGAAGAATTTTGGCGGATTTTGGTTGATTTTTCAAATTTCTATTCAAATGTGGTCCATATTCATGAAAAATCTATAAAAGTCAGAACAATCAATCCCATGTTCTTCTTTTCCCCGCACCGTTTCTCTTCATCTAGTCATTTCCTCTTTCCCTGATTTGATTTATTGACGATTACGAGATCTCCAGACAAACCGTGATCATTGTTATATTCTATTTTCTGAGAGGATTCCATTTTTATGTCCAGTGCCAACCCGGCACACCCCTAGGTCCGCCCCTACGTGTGGGACAGGATCCTTAAAGCACATGTTAAGAACATATATACAGGGAATGAGTTCACATGTAGGTGTAAGGGTCCGTGGCTTTTCTTAATCAGTTTGATTAAAGCTTCTTCCTCTATACTCTTTAAAACTTCTCCCTCTATACCCTTTCAGAAGACCTCAATAATGATGGTGGTGAGTGGTGAATCTGTCACTATCCACTACCACTCACAACTACCATGTGGGTCCCTCAAAAAGTGAGGCAGGTGGACTTTTGTCCTTTCCTCAACCTTAAGTCACCAAATGGCGAAAATTTCTTTTGAAGTGTGGTAAAAATGATAACAAATATGTAATATGCTCTTAAGATTTTACAATGAGAATAACTTTACTTTAATTTTTGAGGCTTTAATGTGGTTCTCTTGTTTAAATTTTGTTGTAACGCACGGGCATTCACATAGTTTTAATAAAACGTTATGGGACGATTTTTTTTCTGCTGGTTAAATTTTTTATGATAAGGTGAACGTCGATGAAATTCAGACAGTTTGTACAAAACTGATCACTCAAAGACTGTGATCAGGAGTTCGAGATAGCGTAACAAGAAATCTTCTTGATACACCTGTAAAAAACCTAAAAACTATCAGAATGAAATTAAATATATGCATAACAAGTCAAAAACTGGAGGTTGGCCCATCGGTCACTGCCATGATAAATTGGTTGCACCTTCTGACCCGTATCTATTACTGCAACTCACCAAGTTGCCCATCTTTTTAACCTATCTCGTATTACGTACTACACATCACTACATCAGCAAGCAGAAGTGACACCAGCTAGGTTGTTTTACCCACTAACTCCCAATCATAGCCTGCCAAAGTTTGCAAAGAAATTATTAGCACATATTTGTTGAATGCTTTAATTTGCTTGGATACTTCTTTAATTCTGTTCAAGGTTGTTGGCTTGCTCGCTCAATTAGATACTACACCACATCTAGAATTGGCTAGACATGTAGCAACTACTTTGCTAATTGTGTGTGCAATGCAATATAGCATTAGGCCATTTGTGGAAGGCTACACATGGTGCTTGATTAATTGGCGTGTGAAAGCAAAAGATTGGTTTTATGATGTTGGTTAAGGATACAATGGGATGCAATCATCCATTTTTTGGATGCATATGCGTTGCAATTGTGACGTTCAATGAATCTTATGGATACCTTTTATTTTCATAGGCCAATTTGACTGGAAATGGGATGGGGATGCGAATTAGTTGAGATCATGATTTACTTTGTTTTTTTTTCTGGATTTTACGAGGGACTATGCGTTGTGCTCGATGTGAGAGGGGTTGGATGGACAACTGTCCTTATTTCCTTATTTAGAGCTGCAAGAAAACGAGGAGTTTGGCATCTAGAACAGGTTAGGGCTCACAATTTCGTTTTGGATTAGAAAAAAAAAATCTGAGCAGAGCATGATGGAAAATTCCAACAATCTTAAGAGAAAATGATTAAATTCGATAAATTTTGTTTGAGAAAAGGATAAAAACCTAGCAGTTTGGGAACTTCGACATTTGGGATTTTGGATGATGAAATTCGATGTGTTTCGAACGAAATTATGAACCATGAAGAGAGATGGTCGCTTAAGGGCTTTCACAGTGCGCTTACCTGTCGTTCAGCCCCAGCATTCCACATAAGAGATTCCACGCCACATCAGCCTATCCTGTTACTAAGTGAGGACCGCGGAGCCAAATTGAGCCACCGGTTCCTCGTCAGAATTGTCAGCTTTCGCAGGGTCAACCCGCACCATCTCGACGCTTGGGAAGGGAGAGGAAGAAAGGAGACGGAGGAAATGAGCTCGTCTCTCCGGCTGGGGAGGGAGCAGGTCGCGCCCGCAGGGCTCGTTACCATCCTTCGCTCGTCTGGACAGCTCGACGACCGCCGGTTTGATCTAGAGGTTGCCGATGACCTGATCTGTTGCATGCGGGAGCCCTCGTCGTCGCGCGCGAAGAGGACAGGACGACCGCCATCGAGCTGTACTCTCTGCCGCCGTTCCGTTGCTCATGTGGCTGCTCGCATCCAGCTCAGTGGACAAGACGCCCCGCCGCCTGAGCTCTTCATCGTTCTTGCTCAATCCAGGCCACCGGAGAGGGGAGAGGGAGAGGCACTGAGGAGGGGAGGGGGAAGGGGCTCGAGGTTGAGGCCTACGTCAATTCGGAGCCCGACAAGCTCGACCCGCAGCCCTGCCCCGACAAGCCGTCGTCGCCACCACAGACGTCAGATCGCGCAAGCTCGGTGGCGTCGTCATCCGCGGCTTTTGGCCCCGACGAGGAGAGGCGCCGTTGTCTGTGGCTTCCCGTTCGCCGCCCTCGCCGCTTGAGCCACCCTGCTGTCGTTCCAGTCGCCACCTCCGCCGATGCCTCGCATCGTTCGCGGTTGAGAACGCATAGAGAGAGAGGGGAGAAGAAAAGTGAGAGGAGAGACACTGGTGGAATCCACTTAAAATAATATGTATTGTGGAACACTGTTCTTGGGTGTTCTCCTGCTTAGGTGGCATGTGAGGCTCCTCAAATTTTCGCATGGCACTTGTATTGCCCTAGTTCTAACACGTGCCATTTTTATTTCTATTTCCATTATTATAGGTATGGTAACAGTAAAGGTCTATAAAATTTGTCCCCTAGACTTCTTCTCTGAATTTAAAATCTGTTTGGGTGATTTTCATTCAAAGTCAACCAAATTTCATTGCACATGGCACAACACAACCTGCCACATTGGTGCAGCCAGAAAGAATCAAAGATTCCAGGAAGTGGGACCCCTGAGGTTGCTTGTTATCTTGGGGTGAGAGAATCCAGGGGGAAAGAGGCGTGGGACCCACATGGAATCACGGAGATACTTTCCTTGTCCAACCGGGATCTCCAAAGAACAGATTGCAACAGGCAGCTCATCATCTCATCCTGCCTGCCTCTCTGCTTCACACTCCACCAGGTTAAACTCACGTCCGCTGTTTGAGGTAACGGAGAAGATGACATCAAGAAAAAGACTTTTAATGAATAATCCCAGCCCAAAATAAAAAATAATAATTAAGCATTTTGTGTCATGATCATGTGACAGTGGCTTGATAACCTCTGCAGCTTGGATTCTTTGCAGAGATGATAACTTGCTTAGCTTACCCTGCATGCCATCCAAAGCATATCTCTGCACAAATTTTCCTAAAGAAAAAAAACATTATTTTTTTTGCTCAATGATTCCTTTTTATTTTTCGCGCCGTGATTCTTTGCCTACGAGCAGGCAGTGCGTATCTTAGCAACAATAATTTGGTTCTTGATTCTTTTCCCCTCTGTTTAATTAATCCCACTTGTTGTTAGGAATTTAGCGGGTGATCGTGACCAAAAATATACAGGGGATGGGAGAGAGAGAGGATGAGAAGCAAAGTGGCCAATTGGTTGCGATTTTGTAGTCAAAAGAGAACACCGGTTACCACAAAAACCAAATCTTTGCTAGTGGCCAGAAGAAAAGCAGAAAGTTTCAGTGCACAAATCTTGGGTCCTTGGACAAAGACAGTAGATTTTGATACATACATACATACAATGCATCAAGTACAGAATCATTGCTCGGTTAATCTTCCACTAAACCTCACTACGCGCCCATTATTTTTTTATAAAGATACGTATTTTTCTTGATTATCGTAAGCACGCATGCTAAACGGCGTCTACGTTTATACTGTGTTTTGTGTTTCTAAAAAAACTAAACTAATCATATGCTAATAGTTTTTTTTTCGTTTTGCATATGCTTTCTCCATCTTCACCTTGATATATGTAAAACACCACCGTACCAGTAATTACCTATCAAGAACTTCACGAACAAACCATGGAAATATGCAATGGTAAATTGATCATTCTGAAGCTGAACTTTTTACTGTTGAGATGAGGCGATGCGGTGTGAAATAGTGCGCGGAGTGGAGTGGAAGCAACGGCACGATTGAGATAGATTAAGACGAAAATGAAATTAAACGAAAAGTCCTATTAGAGCAGAATTAATTAAGTATTAATTATTATAAATTTAAATATAAAATTATTTGATTTAGAATAAATTTTAAATAAACACACCGTTTAGTATTTAAAAAAACTAAAAATCACGGTAACAAAAATTGAGATCAAATATATTCCCTCTATCCTAAAATATAATAAGTTTTAGTTGAATGAGACACATCTTAATACTACAGAGAGTGCTCTAATACGAATCTCGTAGTACTGTAATATGTTTCATCCAACCAAAACTATTTATAGACGGAGTACATTTTAATTAGAAAAGAATGTACTTAGGCTGTGTTCTCCGATTGGAGTTGGGAACACTTCCCACATTGCACGCAAACGAAACGATAGTTTAGCACATAATTAAATAAGTATTAATTAATTATCTATATTTTAAAAAGACACATCACTACTCCCTCCGTTTCATATTATAAGACTTTTTACTATTACCCATATTCAATATATGTGGCTAGATTCATTAGCATCTATATGAATATATGAATATGGGCAATGTTAGAAAGTTTTGTAATATGAAAATGATGGAATAGTAATTTGGAAAAAAACGAGAGTGGTGAAGTTTGGAAAGTGGACAAAGAACACAGCCTTCATACGGCCATACGGGCACTCGCCATCATCATCCGTCTTCTTCCACTCGCGTAGAAGCAAGTCTTCACCGTCGCGTCGTCCACCATTTGCGTGCCTGATTAATCCTCTCGTCATCTCACCTCACCCTCCTCCCCCGCGTCCGCAACCCACCACCATATAGCCGCCACACTCCCCTCGTGTCCTCCCCAACTTGGGCGATCTTGGTCGCCGTCGTCGTCGTCGTCGTCGTCGTCGTGGAGGCGGTTCTTGGCGGAGGAGGAGTCACACAGGAGTGGGTGAGAGAGGGGGTACATGAGGAGGTGGGGTGAGGGGGGAGGGAGGAGGAAAGCTGGGGAAGGAGTTGGGCTTGCTGGGGTGCGTCAATGAGGTGGTGGCGGCGGTGGCGGCGTCGTGGGGCGCGATGAGCGACGGGGCGCGCGTGGAGGCGGCGCCGCGGCTCGCGCAATGGCGCGTCGACGTGCTCCCCTGCTACACCTACCGCAAGTCCGAGCCCTTCCGCATCGGCCTCTGGAACTGGTTCGACTCTTTATGTATCCATTCCTCCCTGGAAAAGAAGCTTTTGCAGTAGATTTTTGGAGAGTACAGTTGCTTGTTCTGTTTGCTGATTTTGTTACGGTTGTTCTGAGATGAATTTGATATGAAGTTTGATCGTTTTATCTGGTGTGTTAGGTGAATCTTGTGTTGTAGTTTGGCATGGAATCATTTTTTTGTTTTTTGTTGTGAATAGTGAATGGATGGCCTGAGGTATTTATGAGTTCATGTATTTTCGGTGGTGCAGAAGTAGTCAATTTCTTTTAATTTTATTTTCCATGTAACAGTAATTTCGGAAGGAGTGATCCATTCAATTTTGTGGTGGTTGTGGTGAATTGAGCTGTAGTCAGAGTTGAAGTTGCAAAAGCTTTGGATTTTGTAGCAGTGGAACTTGACTGAATTCTGTTTCAGTGCAACAGTTTTCAGCTTGCTACCTTGTGTATTCATTAGTTCTGGATGATCTGCTTAAATTTTATATTTCTAGTCATGGCCGTTTTGAAATTCCTTTCAGTGAGATTCAGATACTTTTCCTCACCAAACTATGTTTAGTTGTTGGGATCCTGTCTTAACCATATTTAGGCTCTAAGAGAAAAGTAAAAGCTTTGCTTGGAATAAAAGGTATTTCAGACAAAAGTGGCCGCTTTATTCAACCTTCACTGTTACCGGTTTATTTTCTACTGTTACCAAGAGGAATATTTAATTAAGTCGTACTATTTGATTCATCTTCCCACCTTTAGATGATTATTATAACAAATAAACTATCAATCCATTGCATTAATAGATGGGAATTATGAGGGGGGCTGCTATCATGTCATGATCTAATTTATGGTTTCTGATTCTGCAATATGAAGGTACCTATCTGTGGAGAGAAATAACAAGCAAACTTGTGTTAAGGTCTTTGCGGAGTTATCGAATTCTGCCAAGAATACAACCCCAGCCCCTATTGCTTCCTTCATCACAAAACTTCTCATATCTTTTCCTCCAAATCAGAAGACCATAGTTCATCCAGGTAAGTTGGCCCTACTACACAGGTCCTCTGCCTCCTCTCCCTGTATTTGCAATGCACTTTGTCTTGATGTGTACGAAAGTTGAAGATATATTTCAGTATGTCAATATATAAGTAGCTGTTGAAAAGAAAGTGAATGTTGGTACCTTATGTCAATTCAAGTTAAGTTTCTGCAGAAAGTATGTGACATGCAGCCAGAAATTTAAGTTATCGAACGTTAGAAATACCAGGCACTTGGGTAGGTTTCAAATTGAAGGCTTTGTTTCTATTTCAAGTTCCAAGCTGAGTTCTGCACACAAAACAGTGTGCATAAAAGCACGGTAGAGTGACACCATCTGTCGATTAGTCATAACTGACAGTTGGTTTTCATATTGCAGGAATTTTTGACAAGCCGCTGAAACACGAAGGTTTTGTGTGGGCAATTGATAGTACTGTTACAGGAAGATTTGTGATTGAGATAGAGTTTCTTGACCTGAAAATTGCAGATCCATCTGTAAGCACTGTGTCACTGTCTTCTTCTCATTTGTCAATGTTTGGTACAACAACAATTAGGATACGGGGAGTGACATCCTTGACTCACCTGAAATCCTGTCTAATCTATAGCTGCTTAGTGGTGAAAATTAACGACCCTGATAAATGATATCAATCAACATGTCATCTAGATACACTGGTTCAGCAGAAAAACAGAAGCTAGCAAGTAGTACAACATAGAAACCTGTAGCATATGTTCACGTCTGAATTTTTTGGCTGTGTGCCTACGGGCAGAGGCCGGAGATGTAACCCATTTCCATTATCTAAAAAAGAAACCTGTAGCATATACATCTGGCGCCACTTGTCAATAATTTTTTTGACCAAAACCAACAAATCCAATGCATATCAGAAGTTCAGAACATTCAGAACTAAAATTGAGAATGTCGTAAATGAACATTGAATATCAACTAAGTAGTGATATCATCAACGGACCACACCCTGCCAAATGGAAATATAACATTTTCCAAACCTTCTAGGAAAGCAAAGTCAAACTTCTGATTTATTGACCAGTAAACTTCAATCAAGACCCTAGAAGAAAGTGTATTGAGCAAAATATACCTTTTGTGCTTTTACATCATGTTCAACTATTGGGATAATTTCATTGGCATTCAACATAAAAAGCTCTAGTGTTCGCTTCTTGTGCTTGTAACTTAGCAACCTTTACCTCATGTTCATGAGCAGTACAATTCCCTTACTGGCTCTAATTCTGCATTCCAGGGTGGTGAACCAGCCTCAATTTGGGCTTCCCACCAAATCAAGAAATCTTCAGACAACACTGCACTGTCATCCTTGGCGAGAATGCTGCAAGAAGGCATCCTCACCGACATCACAATCAACGCTACCGACGGCAGCATTATGGCCCACCGTGCAATCCTGGCCAGCCGTTCCCCTGTCTTCAGGAGCATGTTCTCGCACGACCTCAAGGAGAAAGAACTCTCAACAGTTGACATCTCTGACATGTCCCTTGAAGCATGCCAGGCCTTCCTCAACTACATTTATGGTGACCTACGCAGCGAAGAGTTCCTCACCCACAGGTTAGCTCTTCTCAGAGCTGCCGATAAGTATGACATCTCTGATCTTAAGGAGGCATGCCATGAGAGCCTGTTAGAGGACATCGACACGAAGAATGTGCTCGAGAGGCTTCAGATGGCGCACTTGTACCGATTGCAAAAGCTCAAGGATGGCTGCTTGAGATTTCTGGTAGATTTCAGAAAGGTGTATGAAATGCATGACGATTTCAAGGTGTTCCTCCAGACAGCAGACAGGGATATCATAGCTGAAATCTTCCAAGGTATTCTTACAACATGGAGTGGGCGATAAGCATGTTTATACGGTATATCTGGTTTGGTTCAGAAGCATTCTTTCCAGAATTGTTGCTGGTAAAGCATGTAAATATATAGTACTACATTTTACATGCCATCAAATTGGCTCTAAATTTAATGTATATATACCTTGATTGGATTTTGTACATATCATATATGTAAATCTAATTCTTGTATCCGACTCCACGTATTGTAACAATTCTGCTGATCTGGAAGAAAATATTACTTCAGATTTCCATTTTGTAATGCATATACCGATCCAACACTGGGTGGTTGCTGCTTTTCTGAACTGGTATATGCAAAACAATAGTGATCATGTGAAGCAAAGGGTCCCATCGTTTGGCTTATTTCCTAATAAGCCAAAACGGCTTATTAGGAAATAAAAATAAATTTGTAGATGAAACTTTTATAAATATGTTCTTGGTGACTTAAAAGCCAATGTTGTAAAAGAAACTGCGTTGAAAATAACTCAAAATTAATCTCAAAATTAAGTTTGAAAATTCAAAATTTAGCGTTTTCTTTTGCTGATTAGGCCATCCGATGGAAGCCAAAGTGAGCAGTCTTGCCCTTCATTAATTGTTCAGTGTGTAAGCAACAGAGACAATTTACTAGTTTAGTTAGTATCAACTATAATAGAATCTATCGACTGGCCTATTAGCTCAGCTGGTTAGAGCGTCGTGCTAATAACGCGAAGGTCGCAGGTTTGAGACCTGCATGGGCCAAATTATTTTTTATTTTCTTCCTATTCTGTTTTTTTTTCTGTCTAGCTTACACAGGAATAAGTTCACTTTGTGACCCTTAAAATTGATCGAGACCTGCATGGGGTAAATTATTTTTTATTTTCTTCCTATTCTGTTTTTTTTTGTCTAGCTTACACAGGAATAAGTTCACTTTGTGACCCTTAAAATTGATCGAAATCTAATCCGTAACCCTAGATCACAAAACCGGATATCTTGACCCCCAAACTTTTAAAACCGGTGCAATTTAACTCCCTAGGCGGTTTTGGAGGACGGTTTTGCTGACGTGGCGCTACGTGCCGCTATTGACCTGGTCTCCTTTACATGTGGCGTTGACGTGGCGTTTAGGTAACATTTAGAACTTAAAAAATATGTGTGGGACCCATTTGTCATTGACACATAAAAGAAATTGTGGGACCCACGTGTCCCTTCTCTCTCTCCCCTCCCTCTAGTTTCTTCTCCCTCCTCGCCACTCCCTCTCTCTCTCCCGCGGCGGGTGGCGAGGGCCGGAGCGGCAGCAATCGAGCGGCGGAGACGCGGGAGTGGTGGCGGCAGGCACTGGAGCAACGACGGCGGCGGTGCTCGGGCTGAGCTCCACGGCCTCCTCGCCGATGGCGACCCACGCGCGGCGAGCGGCGGAGGCGCGGGTGTGGCGCGGCGGCCTGCGAGCGACGGAGACGCGGGAGTGGCGGCGGTAGGCACTGGAGCGGCGACGGCGGCGGGCGGCAACAGGCGACAGCAGCAAGGGAGCTGGGCCACGACAGAAAGCCGCGCACCACCGTTGGCCGCGGCATCTAGCAGCGCCCCCACGCGACGTGACGGCCCCATCTCCCTCGATGGTCGCCTCGCCGGAATAGTACTAAGGGCACGCAGCCGCAACTCGTCGCCGCACCGGTTGAATCCGCGTAGCTCGAGCGGTAGCGGCGTCTACGGGAGCGGCGGCGGAGGTGGGCGGTATAGCCTCGTGTCCCGGACGATGCCAACCCGCTGCGCACACCCATCTTCGGCACACGCAATATCTATTCATCACTTTGCATCCTTGTCGAACAGAGCCATCACAATCTCAAGCTGCTCAATTCAGCAACAAGCAAACAAATTGGTGTGCATACGTGCATATGCACATATCAAGAAGCACCACAACTCCGCCGCCGCCACCACCACGAAAAAAAATGGATGAGAGGGAGGACCCATGTCGAGCAGCGAGCAGTAAGGACCACATCTCCGCCTCACCCTCCTGCTCATGGCCATCGTCACAGCGCTGATGAGACCGCCGGTCTTAAGGGCGACCCTTACGCGGTTGGAGTCGATGCCGTCATGGAGTTCCCCGGCAGCCCGTCGTACGGCCCCGACCGCGTCATCTACCTCCGCCCGCTCTCCGGTGAGTTCCCCGGCTACTACGGCTGAGATACCACCGAGCTCTGCGCTGACCCGGAGGCGTTTGCGAAGAACCACAAGCAGGAGGTGATTCCAACGCCCTCCCGCCCACCGCTGTCCCCGGATGAACCCGACCGCGGCGAGAGAATGGAGAGAGAGGGAGGAGGAAGAAGGGGAGAGGATGATTGTGGGCCCCACAATTTCTTTTATGTGTCGATGACAAATGGGTCCCACATATATTTTTTAATCTAAATGCCACCTAAACGCCACGTCAACGCCACACATGACCTCGTTACGATGGGCTTCGTCCAGGCCTTTGTTTTCTTACATTTAGGCCTTATTTTCGATGGGCCTCCATTCCGGCCCATGCTTAAATATGAATAATTTGATGGGCCTCAATTCGGGGCCATCTAAGTGGATTGATCCGAATTGGCCTAAATGTGAATGGTGAATGATTCGATAGGAACGTGCTGAACTGCTGATCAATGCAATCAATCAGTTTGTTAAGAAAAATCAAAATTCCGTGCAACAATTTAAACGCAAGTGATTAACCAAGTAGAATGACACATGTTCAACAGTTTTATTTACTAGTAAATGCGAATGATTGGCCATGGAGAATGCCAGAATGGTCTCACCTCTGACTGATACTCTTCTCTTGGTTTACAAAAAACCGTAGGTAACCGCATACCATGGTAACCAAGCTTATCGTGGCGACACGATAATAATGATTACCACCGGTGGTGAAATTGGGGAAATTCAAAATTTCCAAAATGAGATTAAAAATCCAAAAATTAATGGATGTAGTTCTTGAATTTTAGCGTCAGATGATAAAGATTTTTTTAAAAAAAGAATCATGCATAAACCACGAAACCACAAAAGTTTTGAATTCAAATGTTCGAACATGAATTTCATGCGGTTAGCGTGAGGGTGCGATAACCTCTCGCCAAACGGTTTTGCAAACCTGCTCCTCTCCTCTGTTCTCTGTTTTCAGGCTGAAGTCGATTTGTTCAGAGAATCAAACTGCCGCGAAATGGGAAACAATGCATGCCTGATCTGCGTGCTTCTGCACAGTCTGATACTGCCATCAAAATGTGTAATTACTCTGTCGCTTCAGAATTTCAGCCGTACTGTAGCCGGCATTTGGACTTCTGCTCTGAAGATATTCCCTGCACTGACGAGAGGGAGAGAGAGATAAAAATTGGGAGAGGATTCTAATAATTCGAGTGGACGTCCACCCGTTTATTGCATGTCAATTGGATGGTTACGAAAAATTTTCAAAAAAATTGACAAGATAGATCAATATGTAATATATCACTCCACAAACATGCAAGTTCAAATTCAACTTCTACAGATTGTAACAAAAATAACAAATTTAATTGTAAATATACATATAGTAATTTGAGTTTTGTTTGTTATTTTTGTTACAACTTGTAAAAGTTAAATTTTAACTTGCATGTTTGTGGATTGATATATTACATATTGATCTATCTTATTCATATTTTTTTAATTTTTTTCATAACCATTTAGATGACATGCGATAAACGGGTGGACGTTCACTCGAACTGTTAAAACAGTTTTCCCGATAAAAATCTGCGCATCATTTCAACTTGATCAACAGCCGACCTGCGCCGGCTGCGCGCGGTGGCGTTTTCCGCCGGAATTCACATGGGCTCACCGGTGAATCGATGCATGGGCGCGGCGGTCTCCTCGTCGTCTCTCTCCCCGGCCGGACCACCCATGCAGGCGCTGCGCCTCCCTCCTCCATCCATGTCGCTCTCAAGTCTCAAGCAAATCACGCCCATGAGTGAAGACGAGCTAGAGCCTATAGCGCCTCCTTCATGACCTACCTAATCGTTTACTCCTATAGGATAATTAATCTGGACGTAGAATTGTTCAAATTTGTTGTATTAGAAAGGATCACATTCACGCTTAAGGTTAAGTTTTTTTTTTTGACGAAGGGAATACCTCATTCGTCACAAAATAAAATAAACCTAATACGATGTGACAAGAAAGTATGATCCAATGTGGGCGGTCTTGGCATCCTAAATTTGGAAAAGTTCGCTAGGGCCCTGAGGTTACGTTGGCACTGGTTCAATTGAAAGAAGGACCATAAGCCATGGGCAAATATGGATCTTCCATGCGATGAGATGGATAGGTGCCTTTTCAAAGCTGGAACGAAGATAACTGTTGGAAATGGAATCAAAATATCTTTCTGGAATGATAACTGGATGGATGGACAATTGCCAAAGGATATAGCACAATCGATTAGCAAAAAGAAAATCAAACAGTTTAAAGAAGGATTTAGAGGACAATCACTGGCTTGCAATGCTCCACCCGATCACTTCTTTAGTGGAAATTGAAAAATTAATCCAACTGGGAGGTTTGTTACAAAACGTTAATCTAGTTGCTGGACAAATTGATGACATTTCCTGGAGATGGACAGCGAATGAACAATATTCAGCAAAAAGTGCATACCTTGCACAGTTCCAAGGATCCAATGCTTTAACTTAATTTACACCTTTGTGGAGCGCGTTTGCGGAACCAAAACATCGTTTCTTTGGATGGCTTATCCTTCATCAACGAACCCTCACTGCTGAAAATTTGCTTCGACGTCACTGGCCATGTGATTGGATATGTAGTTTGTGCAATAGTGCCTTTGAAGATGCAGCCCACCTTGCAAAAGAATGCCCTTTCACAGTGACCGGGTGGATGCAGATTTGTATTTGGATGAATTTTCAGCTGCCTCAACATCATTTGCAAGGAAATCTATCGGACTGGTGGATCAGTTTCTGCACTATTTCGCCAAGACAGAACAGGAACAAGGTTCTGGGAGCTCTCATCATAACATGGTGGAACGTTTGGCTAGAGCGAAACAGAAGAATTTTTCAACAGATTTCAAAGAATGAACTCCAAGTCGCCTTTCTGGTGAAGGAAAATATCGCCCTAATTGAGCAATCTAGGATCTGACCCCGTCATGATCCCCTTTTTAAGATGTTTCTCAATACTTCATGTTGTAGCTGATGCTCCTTCCCTCCCCAACCCTATGTTCACAGGATTCTTGTCTATACTTTAACTAAACTTTTATTCCTTCTAATATATCGGGCAAATCTCCTACCGTCTTAAGTTTCAAAAAAAAAATGTGAGTGTCGTTAGCTAGCTCAAAGTGATAGAAACAGATAGCTAAATAGATAATCCGGTGCTCAAGCTAGCGTGTGGATAACAAGAAGTTGCAATCTACCCGACGTATCGTTCCAAAAAAATATTCAACCCTACGGTGTTAAATCAGCAGGATTCTGTATAAACCAAACAACTTTATACGACTGAGTGTATCCGATATAGAGACCGGTGATGTTAACATCTTCGCTATCCAGAAATCATCAGAATTTTCATTTGTATGGATGGATGGATGACCATGAAATACGTGTATATCGACTGAAGGTTGGAAAAACTTCTTATCCATTCAAGCCTTCTAACTCTTATGTACAAAAAATAGGAATGCTGCAAAAAAATTTTGAGTGAAAAAAATTAAATATAGTACAATTGAAGTGCAATTACATTATAACTATATTTAACTACATTATAACTACGATATAACTTATGTAAAACGTGTATTCAACCATGGTTTGGTTGGTTAACATCGAGATCTTACGCGTGACATGTGTGAAAAATTTTTTCTAGCAACTTTTTTCCTTCATGCACAGATATCAAGGTAATCCGATAGCAATGAATATGAAAGTTTTCGAGGGAAAAACTTGTGGAAATTTTCTAGCAATTCCGTAAAAGATATGCTTATAAATAGAGCAGGATGTGCATATGTTTATATACAGAGGTGAACATGTATGCGTGTATATGAGTATATATGTTTATAATGTGTTTGGAAAGAAAGAACTCTAAATTAAATACTCTGTTGTCAAGGACCAAAATGAAAAAAAAAGGTAAACATGAGATTTTTGAAGTTATATTTATGTAGTCTTCCTCATTATTACAAAATTCTGTAGAATGGTATATCGTTCCAACGGGATAGCTGATAACATAATGACATCAATATGATAACTAGGCACCATATCTTTTATGGGGTATTATATCTGATAGCAAAGGTACGAGATCCAATACTAAAGATACCATGTTAACATCAGTATGATACCTAGGTACCAGATCCGATACCTACAGTATCATGCCGATGTGGCATTATACCTAGGTATCAGATTTGATACCTACAAGATATCACGTCTGTTACCATAAGTATTAGATCAGATACCTACGGGTATCATGCTGACGCCAACTATTTTATTAGAACGGTATACCGTATTTTCGTCATTATTATATCCCCACAGGAATATATACCCACGGTCCCGAGGTACCCACGGACCCGTGGGCCCGAGCACCATGGACGGTCGAGGCCGCAGCCAGCGTAGTAAAGCGTCTGTGATGCTATCGAAGCATAAAATGGTCGGCCTGCTAATCAGGAACAGGGATAGGAACAGAGAGATGCTTAAGCAGGTGGACCCCACCACTCAGCCGCTTGAACCGTTTCCTAATAATCCCCAAGCTCTTTTTCCCAAATAGTTCAAAAAAAAAGTTCTTCCCAACTGAAAATATCCCCGGTCACGCGTGGAGTCGTGGACACCTCGCGCTGACGTGGCGGTTTTCTAGTGGGTCAGCGTCCGACTCAGATCCTACGTGGAGTTTTGAATCTGAACGCGTGAAACCGGTATCAGATAGAGTTGTAGCTTATGTAACTTTTCAGAGGAAGCTAAATTAGCTAGTAGTAAAACATATTAGATATTACTACATATGATTAGCTGCTAATCACGTCATACGCGTGGATCTTAGTTGTTCTAATACTGGTTAATTACTTCTAAACTAGTACCAAAGTTGTAATCAGACGCATGCAATCCACATCACGAGCTGTATCTAGCCATCCCTGCGTAGCTAACTTCCAAATCAGAGGATGCATCGCACCGGGACTCTTGTATAACTGATTACAGCTGAGTTTACAATTCCGAATTTAATCTTCTCCAGTATCTGTCGGCTCGCCGAAACAATAATTTAACCGAAATTCTGGGAGAGTTTGGATTAGGTTTATGTCCAAGTTGGCAAAAGTTATTAGTACATGACGCGGCCATCGCAGAAAATTAGTAGTACTCCTTCCGTTTCGTCCCATAATATAAGAGATTTTGAGTTTTTTCTTCCACTGTGTGACCATTCGTCTTATTTAAAAAATTTTAAAATTCTTATTTATTTTTTTATGACTTACTTTATTATATAAAGTACTTTAAGTATAACTTTTCGTTTTTTTATATTTACACAAATTTTTTGAATAAGACGAGTGGCCAAACAATACAAACAAAAACTCAAAATCCTTTATATTATGGGAGTATTTTTTTTTCCGGCAAGAGACGAGGGGCTAATCGCAAAATTCGTTGCTCTGGACGCCTATATAAAGGGAGGGAGAAGCAGCGGTGTGTCTCCGGCGAGCGAGCACGAGGCACTCACCGCCGGCGGCGACCGAAGCAAATCCGGCATTCGCCTGAGCCGGCGAGATTCGGAGTCGGAGAGGAGGAGGAAGAAGATGACGGTGGGAGCCGGGGTGGCGGTGCAGGACGGCGGCCTGGTGGCGCTGGGCGCCACGGTGCTGACGGAGGTGCGCGACAATGTGCTCCTGACGCCGGCCGCCGGCGCCGGCATGACGAGCGGCACGTTCGTCGGAGTCCGCTCCGCCACCGCCGGCAGCCGCAGCGTCTTCCCCGTCGGGAAGCTCAGGTATGTGTTATTGCTCGTGTCAGACTGTCAGTCAGCCATGGATGGCAATTATCCCTCTCTGCTCTGCTTGTCGGAGGTTTTGCCGTACCATCGCCATTAATCTCCCTCTCGACAAAACCGAGACAGAAATAATGGTTTCATAGAGGTTAGTGAGCAATTCTTGGGATTTTGGGGAGCTTCTGGCAGCTGTAACTTCTTCTAAAATCAGAAGTTTAGCTTTTCGTTTAAATTCTGATAAGTTACAGAATGTAGCAGCTTCTTGGAATCCTAAGTTTTTCCAACCAGCTGTTTATCAGAATCTTAGGCTTCTTCAACAGCCCCTTGGAAAGAATAATTTACGAATTCAGATGTGAAGTTTCAACATTGTCTGTCTGGTGTTCTTGATAATTCAAATACTAGTAAGGAATTAGGAAGGTTGTTCATCTTCAGTACGTACGCCGGTGATGCAGGGGATTGCGGTTCATCTGCACGTTCCGGTTTAAGATGTGGTGGATGACGCAGAGGATGGGGACGTCAGGCCGCGACATCCCCTTCGAGACGCAGTTCCTCCTCGTCGAGGCCGCCGACGCCGACGGATCACACCTCGCCGGCGACGGCGCCGCCGCGGTGTACACCGTGTTCCTCCCGATCTTGGAGGGACCGTTCCGAGCTGTGCTTCAGGGGAACTCTGATGATGAGCTCGAGATTTGCCTCGAGAGTGGTAATTAGTTACTATTAAAATTTCTTCTTTGACTTGAGCACAGATTGCTTGATGGGAATTAAAAATCATTCCGAGATTTAGAGTTCTAAGTATTTTTTTTCTTCTCGTAATTCAGGTGACCCAGCTGTGGAATCATTCGAAGGCACGCATCTGGTTTTCGTCGGTGCCGGATCGGATCCATTCGAAGTCATCACAAATTCTGTCAAGTACGTTTCTTGACTTCTTGTAACAAATTCATATTGTTTTAGGTGGTCGCATTGCGTGTTGTAGCACTAGTTTCATTTGCAGTTTTCTCCTTTTTCTTTTTTCTGATCTGATTTGGCAGTGGCATTTTTCTTTCTCTGAATGCATTGCTTGTTCGATGAGACCACGTGAGTGATGATCCATGAGTCAACTTGTTGCAGGGCTGTTGAGAGGCACTTGCAGACGTTTACTCACAGGGAAAAGAAGAAGGTAATTAGTGGTTTCTTGCAGACATGTTGGCACATGAGTTCTGCAACTAATCTGCATACTTAGTGAATCAGGCTCTCTAACTGTCAGCTTTCTGCAGATGCCAGACATGCTAAACTGGTTTGGTTGGTGCACATGGGATGCGTTTTATACTGATGTTACTTCAGAAGGAGTAATGGAAGGATTACAGAGGTATTTACCAGTCTTGTTTCACCTAATAACAATGCTTAACACATGGTAATTATACTGAACTCCACCATATTCCTTTCTTTAATTTTTTTTAACAGTCTAGGAAAAGGTGGAACTGGCCCAAAATTTGTGATAATTGATGATGGATGGCAATCAGTTAGTATGGATCCTGCAGGAATTGCATCATTAGCTGATAACTCAGCCAAGTAAGCATATCAACTTTGCCTGCTAGTTTTAATTCTGATTTTTTCAGGTCTGAAAAGAAAAGAACTGAACTTTGCCTATTCTGTCTATAGCTTTGCAAACAGGTTGACTCACATAAAGGAGAACCACAAATTTCAGCTAAACGGGAGGAAAGGTCACAGGGAAGAGAATCCGGCAAATGGCCTTGCACACATTGTCAATGAAATTAAGGGCAAACATCAGCTGAAGTATGATGTTCTCTTCTAATAGCTTGTTCTTTTATTCACTTCATGTCTGGCAATTTCAACCAAATTCATCTTTCTGTCAACAAATTCGTATAAAAAAATTATTCAGGTATGTTTATGTGTGGCACGCGATCACCGGATACTGGGGTGGAGTAAGGCCTGGTGCTGATGGAATGGAGCACTACGAATCGAAGATGCAGTACCCGGTCTCATCACCGGGAGTTCAGAAGAACGAGCCATGTGATGCTCTGAACAGCATAACCACCAACGGCCTTGGCCTTGTGAACCCTGACAGAGTGTTCAGCTTCTACAACGAGCTACACGCCTACCTTGCATCTGCTGGGATCGATGGAGTGAAAGTAGATGTGCAGAACATTCTTGAGACACTGGGTGCTGGCCATGGTGGAAGAGTGCTTCTGGCAAGGAAGTATCACCAGGCTCTAGAAGCTTCCATCGCCCGGAACTTCCGCGACAACGGCATCATATGCTGCATGAGCCACAACACGGATAACTTGTACAGGTGAGCATGTGTTTGCTCTTGAAAGTGAAATTTTTGGTGCAGTGAACATGGAATTGGGGGTTTGGTTGTTTACATGCTTCTGCTGTTGTTGATGATGCAGTTCTAAGAGGAGTGCTGTTGTGAGAGCTTCTGATGATTTCTGGCCTAGAGACCCTGCTTCCCATACTATACATATTGCATCTGTTGCATATAATACTGTATTTCTTGGAGAATTCATGCAACCAGATTGGGACATGTTCCATGTGAGAATCACTATTACATTCTTCTAACCGTTTGCCATGGATGCGCTGATGTCTGAACTTCTAATCTGCATTTCTTTGGGTTGATAGAGTGTTCACCCAATGGCTGAATACCATGCTGCAGCAAGAGCAGTCGGTGGCTGTGCCATATATGTCAGGTATGAACAGAATGTATTCTTCAGCACAAATAAATTTCTCTAGTTTGCAGTACGATTAGTTCTTGATGCTATGCTAGACGTTCATGTGTGAATATATGTGTGATGTTGCAGTGACAAGCCTGGGAACCATGACTTCAATTTGCTGAAGAAGCTGGTTCTTCCTGACGGATCGATCCTGAGAGCCAAACTCCCCGGCAGGCCAACCAGAGACTGTCTGTTTTCAGACCCTGCAAGGGATGGCAAGAGGTGATGACACAAAAAAACCGTTAAACAATTCTGAATTGTTTCCGATGTTTACTGACGGATGATGACACAACACTCAACTGTTCCAAATTGTTTCTTGATTTTTGCAGTATCCTGAAGATATGGAATCTGAACGAGCACTCCGGTGTGATTGGCGCCTTCAATTGCCAGGGTGCTGGATGGTGCAGAGTAGGGAAGAAGAACCTCGTCCACGACGAGCAGCCGGCGACGGTCACCGGTGTCATCCGTGCACAGGACGTGCATCACCTCGCAACCGTTGCTGCCGATGGCTGGAACGGCGACGTGATCGTCTACTCGCACATCGGAGGTAAATCATCACTGCCACCGACACTATCAAGAAAACGGCATTTCAATTTTCTTCAGAGATTAGGACACTAGTGTTCTGAAATTTTCTGAACATTTTGTTCAGGGGAGGTGACCTGCCTGCCCAAGAACGCGTCGTTGCCGGTGACACTGAAGACGCGAGAGTACGAGGTCTTCACCGTCGTACCACTGAAGAAGCTCGACAATGGCGTCTCCTTCGCCGCGGTCGGGCTGATCGGGATGTTCAACTCCGGCGGGGCGGTGACGGCGGTGAGGTACGTGGAGGACGCCGGCGTTGAGGTCAGGGTGCGTGGCTCCGGCACGGTCGGGGCGTACTCCTCGGCGAAGCCGGCGAGGGTGGTGGTGGATTCGGAGGCGGCGGAATTCTCCTACGATGATGGATGCGGCTTGGTCACGTTCGAGCTCGCCGTGCCGGAGCAAGAACTCTACTCCTGGACCATCTCGATCGAGTACTGACGTAGTGACGTTGCTTACCATGAAGTTTCTCAATGTTTTTCATGATGAAAAATGGAGTGGATGAGATTTCTGAAAATATATTCAGGTTCTTGCTGAATCCCGGGTTGGGAATTCAGCATGGTGCTGAACATTGTAAGCTAAGGTTGAGATGTTCGCAACATTCTTGCTGCATATGTTGCGGCTAATTCGTGTTATTCCGAGCATACACATACAGTATGCAAAAATCCAAAGGGAAAAAAAAATGGTTTCTGTCATGCCTTCTAGTTTGGTTTACTCTAACAAACCTGATTCTTATGGCTCTCTTTTGTTCAACTTCGTAGAGGGAAAAAAGGAGTAAATGTTGTGTCAACGATATTGAGGCGGATTGTTTATACTTAGTAACACGATAAATTAATATTTGGAAAAAAAAACTCTACAAATAACTTAGAACAAGTGGTGCAAACAATGCACTAGAATTATTTTTTTTTTTGAAAAAAATCATATTTGTAGAAATGTAGAGCTCCAAATACTAAATTTAACTCTAAGAGTTATGTTTGAAGTGAAATTATGAAGTAGCTTTAACCTAATTTTATCTCTCTAATTTATTTTGTGAGAACACTTTAATCTGCTCCACTCCTATTTTAAGTGGAGTTGAATCTAAAACTATTTGGTTAAGCTCTAGAGTTTTACCAAACAGATCCTAAATAATCCACGGTAACAATTTGAAAAATAAAGATGAAAAGAACGGGACCAATGTAATAACCCTTAAAGCGGGTAGATAAAGATTTTTTTTTAAAAAAATAGAATTTTCTCTACTGCTCTACACGAAGGGAAAGTTATTGGGGAGAAGAATCACACATAGGCCCTGTTTAGTTTCCAAACAAAAAATTTTCATACCATCACATCAAATGTTTAAGTATATACATGGAATATTAAATATAAAAAAAACTAATTACACATATTGTGTGTAAAATTCTGAGATGAATCTTTTAAGCCTAATTATGCCATGATTTGACAATGTAGTTCTACAGTAAATATTTGCTAATAACAGATTAATTAGGCTTAATAAATTTGTCAGCAGTTTACAGATGGAATCTGTAATTTTTCTATTATTAGACTACGTATAATAATTAAAATGTGTACCCATATATATCTGATGTGACACACAAAAATTTTTCACCCCTTGAACTAGACCTGGACATAGTTGGGATAATGCCCAGCATCGGTCGACCGGAGGTGGGAAAATTGGTCGCTTCCCCTCCCCCCACATGCGTACCTGTTGGGCCCACCCACTTATCCCTCCCCTTTGTTTTACAAAAAGATATTTCACCTAGTGTATTTATAATGTTTCACTATTTATAAATCTAATTTTGTAGTGAATTAAAATATTCTTTTGCAACAAAAAATCCACATATTTTGGAAATCCTCTATTAAGGGAACTTGGTTTATTTTTTTATTCCACAAAAAATATTTCACCTAATGTACTCACGATGTATAGATCTAATATTGCAGTGAACGAAACATTCCATTGGAAAAAAAACCCACATATTTTGGAAACCCCCTATTAAGGGAATTTTGTTTTTTTTCCACCGAAAATGTTTCACCCAGTGTACTCACAATGTTTCACTATGTATAGATCTAATGTTGCGGTGAACTGAAACATTCTTTCGCTATTTGCTAAAACATTATTTTTATATAAGGTGAAACAACACTCGATTTAAACGAGTGAAACATTTTCGATCTACTTAGTGAAACAATTCCGATATACCTGGTGGAACATTGTGCAACATTTAAAAATAATTCAATAATAAGCTAAATTTTTTTTCGTCAGAATATATCCATGTGTGGTCTTGTTTTAAAAATTTAATTGCAACAAATTTAATGGTGCAATCGAATCATGATTTGGATAAGTAATTTAAAATAAAAATCAGTTTAAAGTAGTTTTGCACATAAATCGGGCACATCCGCCCATCGGAAGCCCGAGCGGGAGTCGGGTCCACGTAGTTGAGCCCATTTACAGCTTAAAAAAAACCCATTCGGCCCAAACTTGGTGGACCTGCGTGAGGGCACGCATCACGAGACAGTTCTGGGCATCCATTTCCGGTGGGATCACCGGATTCAGCCCAAAACCTCATCTCCGCCCTTGATTCCACCCTTCTTTTTCTTCGTCGGCCGCGAGAGCATTGAAGGCGCTGAAGGAGCTCACGCCGCCGCCGCCGGCGCCCTTCTTCTTCTTCTTCTTCTTCTTCTTCTTCTTCTTCTTCTTCTTCTTCTTCTTCTTACCGGTGAAGACGAGGTTGATGGGCTCCTCCTCGTTGTCGTCCCTGGGCTCCTTGTCTAACTTGGGAAGAAGGAGAGGGGGCGGCGGCGGCGGGTGGAGTAGCAGCGGAAGAGGAGAGAGAGGGGGGGGGCGAGCCGGCCGAGCTTCACTCACGATCTCATCGGCGGCAATGGCGTCCCTCCGCGCGCTCAGCGCTCCCCTGCTTCTGTTGTTGCTACGGCTTCCTCTGTCGCCTCCCCGCCCGCGCCACCATCTCGGGCAGCTCCACAGCGCGGTCTCGCACCCACAGCGACAACGTCCGCAACGCCCTCTCCAGCCACCTCTCTCTCCCTCTCCCGTCACCGCCGACGCGCTCGCTCCGCCCCCCGCCGCCGTCGCCCCTCCTCCTGCTCCGGCCGCGCGCCGCTTGCCCTCTACGAAAGAGAAGAGAAGAAGGCAATGAAAGAAGATTGCTGACTAGGATTGTTGGCCCCACATTTTTTTGTCACTTACATGTGGGCCCCACATATTTATTTTTTTATTTTTTGCTGACTAGGATGTCATGTCAGTAAAACAGGGCAAAAATACTGCCGAGGGACCTCGGATGAACGGTTTGAGTGAGTTTAGGGGTGAACATTTTTGGTTTTGTGGTTGAGAGACCTTAAAAAATCTCGCTGCTAAGTGGATGTATCTTCGGTGAACTTATATTAAAAAAAAACAAAGAGCCCATTCGGCCCAAACTTGCGCGAGGGCACGCACCACGAGGCAGTTTTGGGCATCATTTCCGGTGGGATCACCGGATTCAGCCCAAAACCGCGTGTTTACCGCCTGTGGTTATCATCAGCCACCACGCCGCCATCTCCCATGGCGACGACGTGGACCAACGCCTAAACCCCACAATTTTGTTCCCCCAAAAATTCTAAACCTCCGCGTCGCCTTCTTCTTCTTCTTCCTCCGCAAGCTTGCTAGCCTCCTCCTCCTCCGCGCCATGATGGGGAGCAGGGTGGCGGCGGCGCTGCTCCGCCGGGGGAGGGACCAGGCGTCCTCGCTCATGGCCGCTCGCCTCCCGAGGGGAGCCCCCGCTCCGTCTCCGGCTGCTCCTAGGGTTGGATCCGGCTCCGTCTGCGGCTGCGGCGGCGGCGGCGGTTTACTAACTGGATCGAGGTCGACGGGATCCGTCTTCTCCGCATCGCGCCTCGCCTCGTTCCACGCCTTCCGTTCAATCGGCTCCAAGGTGCGTTCGTTGTTGTGCTTTTCCCCCCATTCTGCATCCCTTGGTTGGTCGTGAACTCGTGATGATACCCTCACTCTGGAGGGTAGTGGATTGTGGATTTGTGGTCAACCATCTGTGAGTGTGACACAATGACGCGATCGTTTTTTGAGCGGAATGGAGCGGAGAACATGCTGTTAGGAGGAGTACTATGAATTTGTAGCGACATTAGTTTCGATTTGGATGTGTGGAATTTTGGTGTCAGGGTCTGAGCATTTTTGGATCGGGGAGTCAACATACATGATGAACTGGGTGTATTAAATCTTGGCCGTGCTATATAATCAATTTGGAATATGATATGCACCACATTCATGGGTCCTATATAATCAATTTCCTTAACTTGTAACCACTAAAAAGTGCTAGTACTCGTGCTGATAGAGGTTTTATGTGCTCTATTTCAGACCTTGATGGGCCAATGCACAAGGAAAATGACTACTACTGTGGCAGCAATGAATTCAGGCGTGGCCAATGCAGCGGCATATTCAGGATTGAAGTTGCTTGTTACCAAAGGGCCCCAAGCACAGAAGGCCATCGGGATATGGCTCTTCGGATGTGCCACGTGGGTATTCGGCTTGGTCATACTTGGAGGAGTTACACGGCTTACACGCTCAGGATTGTCGATGACTGACTGGAAATTTACGGGGAGCTTGCCTCCAATGTCAGATGAAGAGTGGCTGCTGGAATTTGAGAAATACAAACTGTCACCTGAGTACAAGAGGTAAGAATTTGTTGGCCTACTGCAGTGTGCTACTGCCAAAAAACCCACTGGTGAAACTAGGAGTTGTACAGTTCCACCTAATAATTGTGTAGCATGTCGAATTTTGTGTATCCCCTGTTATGATCCATTTAGTGTAAACATCAATCTCATAATTTTATTGCTGCTGAACTTGTACTGCAGTTAGCTTCAGTTCTTGATATTATCATGCTGATTGATGAATTTTAGAATGAATATTTAGGATGCTATAGAAGAACTATCCATAAATGTTTCAATTGATTAGAAATAGGTCAAATGTTTGCCTTTTCTATATATGCTTATGAGCTTATCTAGGACTTTCTTTTTCTAAACTTCAACTGGTTATCTCATCATGGGCCAATAGAACATGCCAGGCTGCCTGGAGAACATCTTGAACTCTATGGTCTTAACATTAACACTTTTAACAGCTTGTAAGCAAGTGTTAAATAGGTTTCACTGGGCTGGTACTGAGTCTGGGACCCTCGATCCAATTACTTTTAGAGGAACTCATGAATTTTCTGTTATGTGTAAACAATTTGAAAATGGTACGGTTCTAATAGTTATATATGAGAAAAATAACTGAAATATTCAGCATTTGGTGACTTTTGCGCTAATTAGTGTGACTTGTTAAGATGTCTCAGTCACGTCAAATTTTGTTTTCAAACATGTACATATTACAATGAGATACTGTTTTGGATATTATTTTTCCCCTAATGCAATAGCAGCATTCATGAACATTTCTAGGGTGAACAAAGGCATGAGCCTTGGAGATTTCAAATTTATATACTGGATGGAGTATGGACACAGAATGTGGGGAAGGGCTCTGGGATTTCTATTTTCTGTTCCTTTTGCCTATTTCATTGCAAAAGGGTATGTTACCCGCCAACTTGGACTCAGGCTGTCAGGTCTTTTCGCACTTGGTGCGGGTCAAGGACTAATTGGCTGGTGGATGGTGAAAAGTGGTCTTGAGGTGCTTATATTGTCTAATGCAACATCCTTCTTATTGAGCTACTAGTGTTTGTTGCATGTGGATTCATCATTCTTTTTCATTGTAGGAACCAGCATCTGAGTATGTTCAACCAAGAGTCAGCCCATACAGACTGGCGACCCATTTAACGTCTGCATTTGTTATATATTGTGGCATATTGTGGACAGCTCTGTCAGTGGTTATGCCAGAACCTCCGGCTGGATCAATGAATTGGGTAAATTCTGCAGCAAAGATTAAAAAGTTAGCAATTCCTGTCAGTGCCGTGGTAGGCATTACTGCCATATCTGGAGCATTTGTTGCGGGCAATGATGCAGTATGTCAATGTTCTCACTCTTATCTTAAAAAAACATGTGTGCATCTAAGTATTTGTCCTAACTGTCTAATTATTTACTACCAACAGGGGCATGCATACAATACATTTCCCAAGATGGGTGACACCTGGATACCAGAAGATGTGTTCGCTATGGAGCCTTTCATACGTAACTTCTTTGAGAACACGTCCACTGTGCAGGTAATGCTTTATCTCACAATAAAGAGTCGACAACTCTGAAATTTTGTGATGTTTAGGAGATTATGCTTGTAGTGCCTTTTTGGATTAATTTTCTTCTTTTTTTACCTGTAATATAAGCTACTCACTCCACTATTCTAGGAAAAGGAACAACTGGCTATACCAATAAAGAAAACATGTTCTTTTTCATAGCATGCAATCATCAACATTGCAGGACAGTCCTATGAATGCCGAGCACAGACCATTCTTCTATATAATTCTGGTGTAGCACAATGTCCTGTGCTAATATGGAGTTTTCACTGTTGTAGCTTAATCACCGAATTCTTGCAACAACTACCCTATTGTCTGTGGGTGGCTTATGGTTGGCTGCAAGGAAAGTGGACATGCATCCAGCAATCAAGTCTCTTATCGGAAGCACGCTTGGAATGGCTGCCCTTCAGGTAAAAAATTATAAAAACCTACCCGGATTTGTTGTTCAGATATCAATCATCACCGTAGTTTTTTGCTTAATTAAAATGGCCTAAAATGTTATCATTCTACTTTCTTTCAACCAGGTTACATTGGGAATATCTACACTTTTGATGTATGTTCCTACTTCCTTGGGCTCAGCTCATCAAGCTGGGGCATTGACACTACTGTCACTGATGATCCTTCTCACCCACACTTTAAGAAGACCGTCACCAGCCCTTCTGAAGTCACTTGCATCAGCAGTGAAATCAACCTGACACCGTGTCATGAAATTTTCCTTCAGGCACAGTAGACTGTTTGATATTTTTCCCGTCTTCTTATAGCTGACATGCGGTCGCCTCCTTTGCACTACATTATCACCGTACTCATTTGGCCCAAAAGCATTCAATTCTTGAATAAGGGGCCCTCATAATTTTCTAGTGCCAAATATTACGTACCTTTTCCAAGACTTCTTTGGACATGCTGCATTTTGTCAGGCAATATTGCATTTTTGACATGCTGTCCGCAGCTGTGCACTCTGATTAGATAATATCTAGGGAAACTATTGTATCATGTACCAAATTAATACCAAGTCTCCAAACATTTCTATTGATTCACATTGCCACCAATTTTATATCGTATTTTTCTAAATTTTTCACTCCTATGCCTGAAAGTGAAGGAGGCCAAAGTCACAGGATTTAATCAGCAAACAGGGATGATGTGGTGAGCAGTTGTTCTTTTGGGATGGTAATAGCGGGTTATGGCAAAACGCCAAGATCTTATCTTCCTATCTTTTCTTGGAGAGGAAAAAGAAAATACACAGCCGGTTGGGAGTTTAAGGAGTGAACCGTTTAATGGTAGGAGGACATGAAAGTTTTAGGATGGATTGGGAATGAGAGTTTAAGTATATGAGAGAAATCTCGGTCATACACCATCACTTAAAATTTAATTGAGAAAGACTATACAACGTTATACCGTTCAATGGTATACCACTTATCCCTCAAGTCGTGGCCCCGCGTGCTAGCTTCTCCCGAGTACGTTGCGTGCTGTTATGATTATCACGCACGTTTGTTATGTGTATCAGTGTATGATCTTATTCCTGATAGATGGAGTAGCTAGTACCCATCATACATAAGTCCCGCCTTCTGTACTAGCCTAGCTAGTAAATAAAACCAGAGGTACTACTAGCTTGTTGTACATGCCAAATCCCTCTAATAGCTGCTAGTAGTCACATACCCTAGCTATGTACTTCTTATGCTAGAGCCTAGTAGCCTAGCTATGTGTCTAAGATGGGTTGCATGTATTTGCATGTGTCTTATACCATGTAGTGATTAGACGAGACAAATAATTACATACTCCCTCCATCCCAAAAAAACCCCAATCCTGGGTTTAAACCTGGACACATGGATTGGTTTTTTTTTGGGACGGAGGGAGTAGATTATATATGGATAGAATGAATTCTAATTAGATATACCACGTTGAGCTCTCGGTTATATATGTACTACTAGTAGTATCTTGGTACCACATCTTAGAAACTCTAGTATATGTGATATATAGATGCTAGATTATCATATCTGATATCCAGGTGCTGTGCTGGGTCGGATACCTAGGTACCATGTATGATACCTATGAATACAAGATTTGACACCGAGTTATCGGGTCTGATACCTATAAGTACCGGATCCGATACCTAGGTATCGCGTCTGATACCTTGAGTACCGGATCGGATACCCGGGTATCGAGTATCTGATCTGATACCTATGAGTATCGGTTCCGATACCTAGGTATTGGGTCTGATATCTATACGTACCGGTTCAGATACCCAGGTATCGAGTATGATACCTATGAATACCAAGTCTGATACCTAGGTATCGGGTCTAATACCTATGAGTACTGGATTCGATATCTAGGTCAGGTCTAATACATATTAGTAGCGGATCTGATACCAGATATAGGGTGTGATGGTACCAGACTTTAGATGTGATACCACTAATTCTGATAATTATGGGTTATATACTCCTATTCAACAATCAAATAAAAAGATGGACCATGCATAGCTAGGCAAAAAGTACAGCTGCTGCTGACATGCTTGGTCAGGCTCATGCTACTAGCTCTAGTGCTCTAAAGAGGTGTAGGCGTAGTGTTGTATTGGAGTAGGAGTATTTCACAGATATTTTATTGTAGGATAAAAAGAGACCCCTCGTCAGTCGTCACTAGTCAGCAGCCTCCATATGAAAGGACAGCACACGACATGCTTTCACACCGTCTCATAGTTTTTTTTAATTTAATTATCACCCAAACTTCTCATAATTCTTATCTCTACAAAAAATGGCACTTCCTCGTTCAATCTCTCCATCAATTTTCTCCTTCAAACTCAGCCCATGTGGATGGCGACGACTACTCATGCGGTACCGTTGTACTTGTACGAGAGACTTTAGGTTGAAGGTTGATAGCAAGATGGCGACGGATTTTTTTAATTATTTTAGATTTTTTTTATTTTTTTAATAAATATTTTCAAAAATTGAACCTTTTGTCCACGCCAGTCGAGTGGCTAGCGTGGCAGCGTTGTTTTGCCACACCAGCCACGGTGGCGTGACAAGAGGCTGGTGTGGTAGGACAACACTACCACGCCAACTGCGCGTGATGTGATAAAGTGATGTGGCAAAAATTATAGCCCGCTTGATTTCCACCCATCTACTAGCCGTGATGGTAAATATCCATGGAATATCTGCAAGCTTGAAAGTTGGGAGGCTAGGGGAATGACGAGTTGGCTCAACTCGTTAAGACTTGACTTGTTTGAGCTCATAAACGTTAACGAGTTAAAAACTAGCTCGGCTCGGCTCACGAGTTTATTCGCTAAGATTGTTAGACTTGTTAACGAGTTTATTTGCTAAGATTGTTAGACTTGTTAGCTTGTTCATTTTCACGAGTTAAAAATGAGCTATATCTTTTTCGTATCATATTAATAATTTCAAACTTATCATTTTACATGTTATCATATATTAATCAATTAAGAACTTACTAAATACGATGAATAAGTTCAATGTAATTAAAGACTAAGTATATTAGTTAAAAGCACTATATTAGTTAAAAGCACTAAGTATATAAAGGTATAACGATATCTTTGTTCTAACGAACTAATTAAACGAGCAGCTCAAGCTGGAGACTTTAATCAAAGAATAACGCATGCACGTCACACCGCCTATGCAATCATGCATGATTTGGAGACATTGGCTACGCGGCCCTTGCGTGCGCCGTTTCACACCATCTCATTTATTTGAATGCAAGTTAAATGTGGGTTAGGAGTTCCTCCATAAGTAAAATATATATATAAATTTTACTTAATCAGATTTCATTCACATAAATTGGTTTCAAAGATAAATTTAAAAATTGATTACTAACATATTTTGAAAACATTGTAGTAAAAAAACAAAATATAATGTATTGGTGGATGTGTTGATATCGTGTATTAAAGGGATACACTTTTTTTTATTTACTAATAACTTATTTTGTGATCCTTATTCAGATTTCACACATATAAAATGGTTTCAAGATAAATTTAAAAATTAATTTCTAACATTTTTTAAAAACATTGTAGTAAAAAAAAAGAAATATCGTATATTTATATAAAAAAGTATTGGTGGGTGGGTTGATATTGTATATTAAAAGTATAAAAGTTTTTATTTACAAACTGAGGATAATAAAAGGAATTAACTTACTTTGTTTTTTATGGATAGATTGAAAGTAAAAGACACCTTTTACAGATGGTGGAGTAGAAATCAAGGGGTAGAAGCTAAAGTACGTTGAATGAAATGTGTTGACACAATGAGAACTTTTGTTATTACCACTTTTGATATTATTAAGATATAACTTAATAGTGCTATTTTTTTATTTTCTAATAACCATAAAAATTAGTATTATCGTAAATATTGTTTTTTTTATCACCATTTACTCATTATTTCTCTTCTTTTCCCCATACTTTGAGCATTAACATTTTCACCTCACTTTCTTCCCAACTCTAGCTTTGTCCCATGTCCTACATATTAATACATTGTTGGCTCTTACTCATAAAACCGGACTCATCTTACATAATTGTACCCTAAAATGATCAGTAATATTGGATCATATTAGTTTGAGCATTAACATTTTCACCTCACTTTCTTCCCAACTCTAGCTTTGGTCCCATCTCCTACGTATTAATACATTGTTGGCTCTTACTCATAAAACCGGACTCATCCTACATAATTGTACCCTAACATGATCAGTAATATTGGATCATATTATCTACAGGTCCACGTGTTAGTGATTACGTCCCTCCGACTTTACATCAAAGGAGATATCTCCCATAAAATTAACCCTATTGTTGTCGAATGACAACTGCGTTCGTCGAAGAACGTGGTTCACTCTTTGTGGACAAGTAAAATTGTATATTGATATTGAATTTTTTGGGATCCTCCATTACATGCCCCTTGGGATCATTACATGCCCCTTGGGATCTATTTATAGGTTTAATACAAACTCCTGCACCTTAGGGTTACTATGTATAGGGAAATTTACATAGATACCCTTGTGTTAGGGACACTTATGAGGGTAATTACTGACAATTTAACCCTAGGCCTCTCCTTGGGTCATAAGGTGGGCCTCTACTGATTAGTTGGCCCCTTTAGACCCTGAGCCTAGCGATTTAGGGCGAAGGAGTCTAGCTAGGGGGCAAAAACCTTAGGCTTCGCCAGGCATCTCGCCCTGGTTCATTGCCTTCGCAGCAACCAGGGCTTCTTTGGTCGTGTTTCGCTAAGTCAGCCCGGGAAAGGTTTCGATAGGTTCAGGTTGAAGGCCCTTGTTACATGCTTCCAACACTTATCGTTCATAGCACCAAGTAATAATGCCACCATCTCCATTATCTAAAAAACAATGGCACCATCTATTTGACTGATGCTCTTCTACAACCTTCTGCTTCTTCTTTGGATCCATATCTCCCACAATTAAATCAACATGCTCCTGTGGATTTATTTGTCGTATTGTAATTTTTTGGCTTATATGAAGTTCGTCGCTATCCTCATTATATCTTATTCCCCATCATTGTTTCACGCGCAAATGCAATTCATGTCACAATCATCTCATAATGTTGACATCTTCAGTTAGGGCAAAAAATACATAAGCGGCCTGGTATACACAAATCTTCTTGCAAATCTAATGGCAATAAATGGCCCTCGATCTTTTCTTTTTCTAAACATTTCTTTGATGTTTCTTTGTACTCTAAACTTTAACTACTCGAATAACCATAATCCTAATCTAACAGGTATATATCCACCCTACCCACGTGGACAAAGAGAAGAATCAAAAGTTATCCCTAACACTTACAGTTTTCCTTCAAATAATCACCACATACCCCCTTCGTCCAAAAAAAAAAATCTAGGACTGAATGTGACATGCATATTCTAGTACAATAAATCTGGACAGAGGTATGTCCAGATTTGTGTACTATGATGTGTCACATCTAGTACTATGTTAGTATTTTATGGGACGGAGGGAGTATACACCACTCCTATTCAATTCAAACCAGCCCACGAAACATATGATAAAAGAACCCCAGACATAAAAATTAAATAGAAATCACCCCTTCTTCGTAATGATCTCTTGGAGCACGTCGCCGATGCTACTATTGCGGAGGCGCACGCCCTGAGGAATGGAATCTTGTTGGCTAGAGACTTACAAGTTGATCGAATCACCATTGAGTCAGATTGTATGAAGGTCATCACAATGATGCAAAATGGAGGGTTCACGGCGACAACAGCTGCAGCGATCTATAATGAATACTTACTTCTTTCTAAAGCTTTTACTTTGGTAACTTTTGTCCACTGCCCTAGGGAGGCTAATAGAGTTTCTCATGAGCTCGCTAGAGTTGTATGGATTGATCCACCATCTGTTTGGTTGGAAGAGCCACCAGTTTCAATTGTAAAATGGCTAGCTAGTGAGCGATGTAACAGTTCTTTGATCCAATAAAGTTACCCGAGTTTCAAAAAAACTACCAAATTTAATCTCTCCTTTTTTTGGATGAAAAATTACTCTCTCAAATAGAAATCACCCCTTCTTCAAACTACCAAATTTAATATCTCTTTTTTTGATGAAAAATTAATCTCTCGATCACTCACAAAAAATTCACCCCTTCTTCAAACTACCATTTTTGATGAAAAATTAATCTCTCGATCACTCACAAAAAAATGACTGATTTTTCTTTTTATCGTTCGATTTTTGATGAAAAATTAATCTCTCGATCACTCACAAAAAATTGACTGATTTTTCCTTTTATCGTTCGGTCAAACCGAGATTCGCTAGACGGGACTCGATCCCACAACCTAAAGGTTGCCACTACACGTCTCTCCCAACCGAGCTAGTTGTATTTTGTGTACTTATAACGTGAACGTGAAAGTTATAAAATAACTGCATGTAAGTTATAGTGTAATTTCACTAAGTTATACTAAATTCACTAGATTTTTTTTAAAAAAAAATATGATGTCCGATATTTAGATAGTGTTAAATTCAAACCATCCAAAACCTATATATATTGGATTAAGGCGCGTGGATATGGAGATCGATCATACATATGGTTGTGAGTTCGGATAGATCCAGGTTTATTTAGGTCGATCGGAGACCGTGTAAGACGCTCACCCTCTCCTCGCTCTCTCAGCCACCCCCAACATCAGTGTGCGCGCGCGAGCTTATATATATCCATCCACCTCGATAACGCATCCATCCTCTTGGACACATTCATATCAACCCACCGCCACTCGCCCGCCTCCTCCCCAACCACCACCACCCTTCTCCTTCCTCCTCTCGCCCCCATCGATCAGAGGAGCCAACCCCCTCCAGCTGCATGCATGCAGCCATGGCGCCACCGCCGTGACGACGATCCTGTTCGTGTAGACGCGTGCATGCATGTTCGCTGAGAAAAGGGAGGCTGAAATCGATCGCCGTACGTGTGCGCGCGTGCATGGATCGGCGGGAGGGGAGGAGGAAGCGCGCGCGGGAGGAGGAGGCGGCGGCGGTGTTCGAGGAGGTGACTTCGTCGTCGTCGTCGGCGGCGGCGGCGGCGACGGCGGCGGTGGTGGGAGGGGGGGATAAGGGGAAGGAGGAGGAGGAGGGGGAGGGGTGGAAGCGGCCGCCGGGGGTGTTCGAGTTCCCGTGGCAGAAGTGCCGCGGCGGGCTGGGCGTCCCCGTCGGCGGCGGCGGCGGCGGAGGAGGAGGAGGGTCGTGGGAGCTCCGGGACGTGTTCTTCCGGTCGCTGGTGGACGGCCGGGCGGCGGCGATCGGGTTCCCCGGCGACCGCCTCTTCCCGCCGCCGAGCAAGCGGGCGCTGTTCGACGACGTGGACGCGTGGCTCGCCGCCGCCGGCGAGGGCGAGGTGGACCCCGTCTGGCGCTCCGTGCTCGAGGAGGGGCCCAGGCCCGCCGCATGACGCCAACGTGTCGAGCCCGCATGGCCCACGGGCCCACCTGGCAGCCAGCTCCAGACAGGTCCACGTCTTTGCTGTATATGCTGACGTGGCAGGCAAGAGAGGATAGAGCTATGGTAGGAAGCGAATGATGGCTACATCTGATAAGATATCTTTTTTTTCTATTTTTCTTCTCACCTGTTAAACAACACCTTATAATCATCAAAATTTTAGTTTCTAGGTTTGGGGTTTTACTGTTACAGTCCCCTTAAACCATATATGCATGGTGGTTAACTAAAGAATTATTAAAACTTGGTAAAATTATGAGTCACCTCCGGGAGCTAGATGATTTTCCATTCCTTTGGGATTTGCTAAAAAAATTCCCAAAACTTTTAACACACAACAACAACCTGACAATTCAGACAGATCAAAGGTTGGCCTGCAGGAATGCAGTGCAACTGCTCAAACAAAGCTGAATCTATAAGCTGTACCACATTGTTTGGCTCAATTGGACAATTGGCTCTTCTACCTCTGTTTACTACCGACCATTCGGGAAAGAGAGAGAGAAAAAAAACGACGGTTCCACTGATTCCAGCCATCATTTCCGTTTAACTGAAACGAAACCGAAAGATTTTTCAGATTTGCTGAAACTGCAAGGAGGCGTCGTCGCGTCGCCATGTCCGGATGCCCCAGAATCCGCGGCTTTCCGGTGGCAAAAAAAAAAAATCTCTCGGATCACGCGGTGGCCCGGGACAACCGTCAACCGCTACGTACGCCATGCATTCGCGGGATTCCTTTCTCTCTCTCTCGGTGCACCGCTTGCCGGCCGTCATGCTGTCCTCCTGCCTTGTGGATGTTTGTCTCTTAAAAGTTTAAGTACTCCCTCCGTTTTAAAATACTTGACACCGTTAACTTTTTAGCATATGTTTGACCATTCGTCTTATTAAAAAATTTGTAAAATATGTAAAACTATATGTGTATATGAAAGTATATTTAACAATAAATCAAATGATATGAAAAGAATAAATAATTACTTAAATTTTTTAAATAAGACGAATAGTCAAACACGTACTTAAAAAAATCAACGGTGTCAAACATTTTAAAACGGAGGGAGAGTATAAACTTTGCGTCGTCACATATATGTACACAGGTGCGAAATGTGAAGAGGGGATGCAGATCATGCAGATGTTGAGAGCATGCAACGAGAATTACAACTACTACTTGCTTAGGTTTAGGATGCTAATTACTCGATCACTCTGTTCCTAATTGATCATGGAACTTTTACATAAGTGTACTAAGATGAAAAAAAAAGCTAATAACTCTTCCATATGATATTTACTTCGGTAACAAACTCTATACATGCATCATCCTCGCTACTTCCTAACTACTAAGAAATCAAAACATTGCTAGGTTGTAAAGTGTTATGTGGATAGATATATGTACTAAGTAATGTTTATTTAATCCATACACAGAAAATGAACAGATTTAGCGAATGAATATTAATATGATGCTCATTTATAAATAATCTTAAAATATTATACGATGATTAACTGGGAACAGATAAGTATCTCTTAGTAAGAGGGTACGCCCATCTTACTCCTATAAGAATTAATAAAATTCGGTTGATATGTTTTAATATTAGCAAAATCAAATTAGACTGACATATTTTGATATTGGCTAAATCATCACGTGTCGACATGTATGTTATCTAAATCTACCTAATTAGTCGTAAATATGAGCACACCTATCAGTTTTAGAATTTAAACACATATGAATACGTTTTACAGAAAAATTCTAACTAGTCTAACTAAACTCACTTTGCTAACCATCTTTTAAATCAGACCTCTCACCAATTTTGATATTTGTGTCTTTCAAAATAGCCTAGGAGCATCTCGATAAGAATTAAACAATCATAGATAGAAATTTTTTTCAAACACGCAAAACGAAAAACCTTATTAGCGTATGATTAATTCATTATTAATTATTATACACTTAAAATATAGACTTATTTAATTTTTTAAAACAACTTGTATATGTAATTTTTAAAAATATATATCATTTTACAGTTTAAAAAAGTGCTAATGGAAAACAAGGAGATTGAAGTTTAGAGTTGAGGGAAAGAACAAAATGCACCAGTGAAAAAAAATGTAATGTTTTTATGCACATTATAACTTTGGTTAAAATCTGGTCACCCATTTAGTTGTGTTTTTTTTCTGTTATATTTTTTTTGAAGACGGTTTTTTCTGTTATTATTGCCGTTGTCTTTATTTTTCTTTTTTGAAAAAAAAAGGAAAAAACAGAGGACGCAATTTCCAATTTGCACCGCTTTGAATAGAACGCCGCGACGGCCTCCTCCCCTCTCCATCGATCGAGCGAGACGCTCCGGCGCGCGGCCACCTCCGGTGCGGCGGCTTGCCGGAGGCGATCGACGGGCGGCGGGTGGTCCGACCGATGGCGACCATGGCGTCGGCGGCGGCGGCATCCGCGTCCGCGCGGCGGTGGCGGTGGAGGTGGAAGTGGAGGACGCGGGACGCGGTGCTGGCGCTGCTCATCGCCTCGGTGCTCGCGCCGCCCCTCCTGCTCTACGGCGGCGCCCCCATCGCCCCCTTCTCCGGCCCCATCCGTACGCTTCCTCGATCTGCTGCTTCGCCCTTCGCCTAAAAAACAAAAAAAAAATGGTGACGAAAATTTCCTCCGTTCTGACGCGCGTGTGATGTGATCTCTCGGTGTTCGCAGTGATGGGGAGCGCCGCCTCCGGCCTCGATCTGTCCAATCTGGTACGGCCGCGTTAATTGGAATCCCCCCACCAGTTCTCATCAGCCGATTAGGGGTAAACTCGCCATCGTTTTGACGTGTTTTATTGTCCCTAGATTGCTCGGAAGGAGGTGCGGGAGCGGCTAAATGCTCTTAAACAGGTTGATTTCTGCATACAGATGTCAAAATGAATCGGTAAATTTGTTGTGTTCTGAATGTTGCATTGCTGAAATATTTGTTTCTAGGACGCATTTGCTGCGGTGAAGGAGCCTATTCAGACGGTTGCATCTGACGCTGCCGCACTCAAGGCCGGTTTGATTCAACACATTGTTGATCAGAGCAGTGGTATAGATAGAGGGACCAAGGATAATGGTATGGTTGCTTCTGTGAATAAGAAGGGCGGTGTTGAATTCACAAAAGAGAATGGCCTAATCGATGATGGTAAATTGCGGGAGAACAAAGTTCGTGCAATGCGCAATTCTAGTGGTTTGAATATTACACTGAACAAGGTAAAGTACGTATTGTTTGCTCCTCAGTGAATATTAATATGGTTGATTGCCTGTATTCCTGCTTAAAGAGTGAAATTAGCAGTCATATTTGTATGGTTGATGGGTATAGGATCGAATCAAGTAAATATCACAACATCTAACTAATTCATGCTAGTATAAATACATTCAGTTTGCAGAGGCAGCTATGCTGTTTCCACTGAGGAATATGCATTTCATCAAACTATCCCTCCGTTAACAGATCTTATGTTTGGTACATTTCCTCCTGCCCTCCTGGTAATCGATTTGTTGGTGTCTCTCTTTTCCCTTTAACAGATTTGATGCTTTCCTTTTGCCTTTTGCCCCATTGTAGAAATATTCAATGAAGAAAACCTAAAATTCTTATTATCAGTTGATATTCTGAAGTGTCTGATTTTATAATGTAATCCTCTGGCTGTTGTTTTGCAGTCGACAACAATAGTTTCCCTGTCATTTAATAATTTCAGGCCTAATTAATTATTTAACTACTTTTGGTCTGGTTTCCAGGATCATACTGCTGACAGGCCACCTGAGAAAACTACAGACACTACCTCAGAGGACTCTGATATAAGGGCAATCAGCAATAATACTAGTCATTCCACAGCTTCTCCAGATAGTACAATCCGTGTTCTTAGGGACCAGTTAAAAAGAGCTAGAACATATATTGGGTTTCTATCTTCTAGAGGCAATCATGGGTTTATTAAGGATCTCAGAAGAAGGATGAGGGATATCCAGCAGGCACTCAGTGGTGCAACCAATGACAAGCAATTACCAAAGAAGTACTATCTCTCTCATCGTTATACAAAGTTCTTCACAGTTGGCATTTCCGATGATGATTTGTGTCTGGTGTCAGGGTACTCTTTTATAGGAAGTCAACATCTCTTACCTGTTTAACTCAATTTTGTTGCCTACACAGTGTTCATGGAAGAATCAGAGAAATGGAGTTGACATTAACAAAGATCAAACAAGTGCATGAGAACTGTGCAGCTATTATCAGTAAGCTACAAGCCACACTTCACTCTACAGAGGAGCAGATGCAGGCTCACAAGCAAGAGGCTAACTATGTCACACAAATAGCGGCTAAAGCTCTACCCAAAAGACTTAACTGTCTTGCAATGCGGCTTACAAATGAATATTATTCTTCCAGCTCTAGCAACAAGCATTTTCCATACGAAGAAAAGTTGGAAGACCCAAAACTACAGCACTATGCATTATTCTCGGATAATGTACTAGGAGCTGCTGTGGTTGTAAATTCAACTATTATACATGCTAAGGTACAGCAGCCTGCAAGTGTCAGGGAGTACATATAACAAATTGGATCGGCAATTCAACTTATATTTCAGTAATATTCTATTAAAAAAACAGATTTCAGTTTAAAATATAGTAAGGGCTAACATCTTGCCTCAAATTCTAATGCAGACACCAGAGAACCATGTTTTCCATATTGTGACGGATAAGCTTAATTATGCTGCAATGAGAATGTGGTTCTTGGAAAATTCTCAAGGTAAAGCTGCTATTGAAGTTCAGAACATCGAAGACTTTACATGGCTAAATTCGAGCTACAGTCCAGTTCTTAAGCAGCTGGAATCCCAATTCATGATCAACTACTATTTCAAGACCCAGCAGGACAAGCGTGATAACAACCCCAAGTTCCAGAACCCAAAATACTTGTCCATTCTCAATCATCTACGGTTCTATCTTCCTGAGATCTTCCCAAAGCTTAACAAGGTTTTATTTCTTGATGATGATATTGTAGTCCAGCAGGACCTAAGTGCACTTTGGTCAATAGACCTCAAAGGTAAGGTCAATGGTGCTATCCAAACCTGTGGAGAGACTTTCCATAGGTTTGATAGGTATCTCAACTTCTCAAACCCTCTTATTGCCAAGAATTTTGAACGGCGTGCATGCGGCTGGGCATATGGCATGAACATGTTTGATTTGTCTGAGTGGAGAAAGCGTAATATTACTGATGTTTACCACTACTGGCAGGAACAAGTGAGTATTAATGAGCTTTTCTACAAATCTCTTAAGGCAAAATTGCAGCTTTTCATCTCACTAAGTTTTAAAAATTTACTGCTAAACTCCTACTTTTCAAGCCGTTGGTTGTTAAGATTGTAGCTTGTAGTACAATATACTCCCTCAATTTTTTAATGTATGACGTCGTTAGCTTTTCAAAATACGTTTGACCATTCGCCTTATGTAAAAAAAATATGTAATTATTATTTATCTTATTGTGATTTGATTTATCGTTAAATGTTCTTTAAGCATGACTTAAAAATTTTTTATATTTACATATTTTTTTTGAATAAGACGAATGATTAAACATTTGTCAAAAAGTTATCGACGTCATATATTAAAAAAAACATATATTAAAAAAACGGAGGTAGTATATATTTGACCAAGGGCATATGCTCCTCATTTCTGTGGTGTTGACTATATATTTGACCAAGGGCATATGCTCCTCGTTTCTGCAGAATGAACATAGACTACTGTGGAAGTTAGGAACACTCCCTGCTGGTCTTGTGACATTCTGGAACCAAACATTCCCTCTTGATCACAAATGGCATCTACTGGGGCTAGGATACAAGCCAAATGTGAATCAAAAGGATATCGAGGGAGCAGCTGTGATACACTACAACGGGAATCGGAAACCTTGGCTCGAGATTGCAATGGCCAAATACCGCAAATACTGGTCCAAATATGTCAATTTTGACAATGTGTTTATACGTCAGTGCAACATACATCCCTGAGTTGCTGACGGATACACCTGTGAATATGCTGCCGAAATAATCTTTTTTTTAGGCCTTTTAGGTTTGTTTCTTCCCTGGTATCTAAATGATCTAGGGGGTTTATATTTATTGATTAATTTCTTTCTTGTAACCATAATGCAAACAAGTTATAAGGTCAATTGCAAATTCACCACCATTTTGAATCGATATTGTAAACTCGCCACCATAAAAGTACAAAAATATCACAAGAATTGTCATTCAAATGGCATTGTTGCAAAATATTAAAAACCAAAAGCAAATTTGCAAATACCCCGCTATTTCTCAGTGTGTTGATCTTGCATTTAAGGGTGTAAGTGGGTCGACCAGTGAGCACGCTTATAAAAAAACTGGCCAAGTTACCTACTTATTCGACATATAAATAGGTTCACGGGTTGATCCATTTACGCCTTGCACTCATGATGACCAAGGATTACCGTCATTGGTTGATCATGTTACTACAGTTTGTCTACTCTATTTCGTGTGTGGTTAGTGGTTTGATGAATATAGGAGTATGGCCAGATTTCACAATATTGACAAATCTGATCGAACAAACGAGGTTTCGATGTGGCTTGGGAGTTGTTGCCGTTTGGAAATTTGATAAGTTTCATACAAATTTAAATTTGAATTGATAAATAACAAAAATAATCCTATAGATAGTATGGTATTGTAGAACCTATTGGCATTTTTTTTCAAAAAAAAAGATGGTGAATTTGTCGCATTTTGTGAACTGTATAGTGTGAAATAACAAGTAATGATTTAGAAAAAGGAAAAAGTCTTTAGCACTTATACATAACTGGAAGGTAATGTGGCCTAAAAACCTAAAAGATCGATCCCCGAACCCAGTCAATTGAAGAAAAGGACAAGGGTGAATAATGTTGCTTTCTACATGTGGATTGATGCTTATGTCCATTGTATGTCAAATGTGCTCTAAATTATTGTGTTCTATAAATATGTATTGCATGTTGTATGTATGTCAATACGAGATTATCAAATTTATAGGAAAGGGCGTGCTAATTTTTTTTAGAAAATTTCCCTAATTTTCCAACATTTTCCCTCAGTTTTCCATATTTTAGGAAACAAATTTAGGTATTTCTCGTCGGTTTCTCGACAAAACCGATTGGTTTACGCTACATACCAATCGGTTTTCACTTCGCTTAAGTTTTTGGTTACCGTTTGGAATTTCGGTAACGCCGATTGGTTTTCGACCCAAGATCGGTTTACCTATAGGGAATTCGAATTCAAATTTGGTTCTTTTGATATCTGTTGATTTCCGACTGGACAAAAACCGACGTTCCACCAGCACCCGGTATGGATGGCAGTTTCGGATTTGTAACCCTGAGTATGGCTCACTGGTCGACCGTGTCGATGAGTCGTTTGAGCGTTTGATCGTGCAGGTTAACTGACACGGCCGGAGTAACACGGATACGTTGCTGTTCACTAGCTTTATTGCCGGTTTCATTTCCAGGCGAGACGACGGCGACGTCGACGACATTAATGTGTCGCGATCTCCATTGATCGATCTCACATTCTCACTACAAATGGTACTACGCCGGCCGGTCTCCTCCGCTGTCTCAACTCCGACGAGCGCCGGAGCCCGGGGTGACGACAATGGCAAGCACCTCGTTAGTCTCTCGCTGCCTCTGCCTCCTCCTCCTCCTCCTCCTCCTCGCCGTCGCCGGGAACACCGTGGCGGTGACGACGCCGGGGCCGCACGGCCACGGCAACGGCGCGGCGCGAGCGGCGGTGCAGATGCCGCCGAAGTACTACGACGACGACGCCGCCGTCGTTGGCCGTGGTGCCGCCGGCGTAACGACCGTTCCTCCGGCGGATGACGACGACGGCTGCTGGGAGTCCGTCGTGGGGACGTCGCCGCCGTGCGCGCGCGACGTGCTCCTGTCGCTCGCCCTCCACGCGCCGCGCCTCAGCGGCGAGTGCTGCACGGTGCTCGCGCGGGCCGGCGATAAGTGCGTCGCCGGCGTCTTCTCCGGCCTCCCCTCCGGCGAGAAATACCTTCCCCTCGTTAAGCGTATATGCAGCCTGGTCTCCGTAATCTTTTAAGGATTTCACTGTTTCTGAATTTCTAGTTATATACTCCACCATCTCATAAAAAACAAATCTAGTACGAAATATGATATATCCTGATACTATCATACTAGTGTCATATCTCGTACTACGTTTGTGTAAAATCTAAAGCGGAAGCACTTTTGGTTTAGTCTTAACCAGAGACACCCATATACTATCGTACTAGTGTCACATCCCGTACTACGTTTGTGTAAAATTTAAAGTGGGAGCACTTTTGGTTTAGTCTTAACCAGAGACACCCATACATGAGAGCACTCTAGGTTACTACTAGTACAACCAATAGTACATTTCTTTCTTTTGTTTTTATAGAATTTTCTCTTAAACTATTTATCTGATATACAATCTGATTACACCATTATGTTCATTGCAATCAAATCTTTAAAACAAAATCTTACATGATTATATTATGATGAAAAAAATTTATGTTTATAAATTACTTTTATTATATATGTAAGTTACTTTTATCAGCGCGATGTGAGATGCACGGCCAGTGGCAGGAGGTCAGCGTGGCACGAGGCACACCTGCGCAGGAGGTCAGAGTGGCACGAAGGCACAGTTGGCCACACTGGGAGACCGCTGTAGGAGGTCGGCGTGGCCGATGGCACTGAAGAGACGTGTCCGACTACTAGGCCCCACGGCTGTGGGTGGCTGGAGCGGAGAGTAGGTGGCAGCACGCGGAGATTGGCCGGCGAGGGGCGTCGGTGTAGCAGCAGTGGTGGAGGACAAAAAAAAATTTAGGTGTGGCCAATGGACAAGCGTGAGTGTTGACGAAAAAATCGAACACACCGGCCTGAGAGATGTGCTTAGCTCCTGTGCAGGTCCAAATCTTGATGAGATGCGGGCGTGCCAGTCAGTTTGATCCTGCAACTGACAAGATATGCAAATAGTAGAACAAAACAGCCGATCGGCTGACAAGTCGATGGAGTAGTTCCAGCCGATAGCCGATAATAGCCGATGCCGATACCAGCTGATAGCGATAGGGTTTAAGCAATCGGCTATATGTCCAATGTAGATAATGATATAAAGGCAATCGGCTGATGATGATGTAATAAAATAACAATATAATCCAGTATAAACCAATCGGCAAATAATGATATGATAAATAAGCATCGATCCGAAGGTTAAAACACACATCGGCTGGAGGTCCGATGTCATGAAATCCACAAGATTAGATTAAACAGTGAAACCTTTGTTGTCATCGGCTAAATCCAACTTATATGTATATGCATTCCTTATGAGCCGATGCAACGTCTAGATAACTCACCGGCTGAAACCCCAATGAAACCCTTATTGGCAATCAAGAAGCAGGCTAGAGATTATGGTTCTAAGCACGACTTAGTAGATCAAACTTAACTGATGCAGCACTAAGTATGAAAAGAAACATAATATCTAGACAATCAAGTCGTTGACTGAGTTTTCAGGGTGGTAGATGTCTAAGCTAATCTAATCTAGCAACGCGATTTAGCCGATACCAGCAGAAACCCTAAAACGAGAAGCAGCCGATAGAGCTAAATTGATATGCTAAGACTAGATTAACAGAGACATATGATAAATAGGTAGGTAAATATATTATCCAAACCAGAATAGTCCAAGAGGTCGAATGTACTGATGCAGCCTTGAACGATGCCGACGTAGACGATACAATTGCCTGGACCGGCGGAACATTGGACTTATCCCTTCGCCGGAGATCGAAGATGGTGCAGCCCCGCGTCGGGTGCCAAGTTCCGCCGGAACGTAAAAACAAAAGTAGAAGTAAAAAGGGTGACGATGCGCCGAATTGTATTGATCGTAGCGATAGATTACATAGACCCCGGGTGTACATATTTATACACATGGGTTGATACAAGTCCTCGTTGGACAAGAAAGAAACTTTCCTAAAGATAAAAGAAAAAGATAAAGTCCTTATAGGACACTAAACACACTTTCCTAAAGATAAAAAGGAAACTAACAAACTATTCCTAATTAATAGATAACTTGCCATGCCGCATTCTCTTTGAACTCGGTCTCTTCTGGATAAGCTTCCTTTAGTAGATCAATTTCCTTAACCGAATATAGCAAGAATCCGACAACTGACGACTTGACAACTCTCATCGGCTAATCTCAGGACTTTGAAGCCGAAGCTGACTCTAAACCGATGACTACTCTGGGCTTACCAAATTTCACTGTTAATAGTGAGTCAATACACAACAATAATATACTGAAAAATCTCAATTGCACAACACAACATCTCAACAAGACCATGTCCAGCGTGGCAACAATCACTCATGACAACCCATCATATATTGGGATAATTGCTTATTTGACCATGAATTTGTTCTAATAATTCTGTAGCCTTAACAAATACTACGAACCAACCTCCAACAACTGTACCTACCAACATGCCAATGAACATAGAACAATTTAGACAGAAGGGGAGATTGCTACCCTGCCAAAATGCCAATTTGGATCTATTTAGATTGCTACCTTACCAATGTTTATAGTACCAAAACTTTCCTTAGATTTAATACAATCATTTTTTTAGGTAAAATTGTATTTAGTTATATTTGGTTTGCTATCATTATAGATCCAAATATGAATTACAGTAAATAATATTTTAGATTGATGCCAAATCTAGCTGGGCATTATCTTATCAATAAATTGGTTCCAATCAAAACATACTATTTAAATTACGTAAATATATTTGTAGGGTAAATTGGTAGCAATACATTAGTATAACATTTCACACATGTTCGCATAATCGCATCACGGCACATTACAGACCATATCATCAGTGATAACGTCGAGAAACAGCCCATTATCACTGTGTTAAACGACCATTAGTAATATGCAAAAGGGCCCCTACCATCCTAGGAAATTTCCATCCCGGTCCAAAATCCGACCGTTGCCTGCCTCCTAAAGCACTCGACCGTTCCGCTGGACCCAAACCTTCCTTAATCCACGCGCGCCCCACGCAAAATCATCGCTTCTCCCCTTCCATCTCCTCTTCTCCCCGATCTCGCTGCTTCCAATCTCAGATCAACTCAAAGCTTTCCAAACGAATCCTCTGTTTCCTTCCAGAAACATCGACTTCTTGGGAGGTTTCTGATCGATGGAGGAGCAGCCGATCAAGAACGCCGTCCACATCGGGGAGACACCGGTCACCGGCGACTGGGCTTGCCCTGACGGCGGGAACACGGAGGTCGCCGCGTTTCTTGACAAGGCGGGGGCGGAGGCGGAGGCGGAGGCGGAGGCGGAGGCGGAGTCTTCCGGGAGCCATCCGCTTGGCGAGATCGCCGGGAGCGCGGGGCACCTGCTGCTGCTGAAGCTGTGGCAGCGGGAGGAGTCCCGCCTCGGCCGCCGCGCGTGCGCGCTCGAGGCGCTCATGGACGCGGCGCGCCGCGACGCGTTCTACCTCTGCGCGGCCTTCCTCGCCTTCCACGGCCTCTCCCTCGCGCTCCTCTTCGCCGCCTCCGTGTCTGCGTCCGCGTCCGCCGCGGTGGTCTCGCCGCCCGCGGAGCAGCGCGCCGCCTGTTGCAGCCTTGCAGGAGGTGGTGGGTGCCGTCGTCCCTGTCGCTGGTCGCGTCCCTCGCGCTCTCGGCGGCCGTGCAGCTCCGGGTCTGCGCCGGGAGTGCGCACGGCGACACGCGCGCTGGCGCGGTGCGTGCAGGAGCTCCGGATGAAGGGCGCGGCGTTCGGCCTGTCCAAGGAGCCGCAGTACGGGGGTGACGAGGGCCAAGTGCGCCAGCGTCGAGGGCGCCGGTGCGTGGGGCCCGCTCTGGTGGTGCTACCAGAACATCGTCGCCGCCGCCACCATGTGCTCCGACAAGTTCATCTTGTGCTCGTAGGCCGGAGGCTAAGGTAAGCTGTGTCTTTCTTCAAATCTCGAGAAAGAAAAATGCTATGGCCTAGAAGTAAAATTATGTCAGCAACTATGAGTAAAAAAAATACCTTCCCCTCGTTAAGCGTATTTGCAGGCTGGTCTCCGTAATCTTTTAAGGAATCCGCTGTTTTGAATTTCTAGTTATATATACTCCACCGTCTCATAAGAAATAAATCTAGTACAAGATATGAAATATCTAGATACTATCGTACTAGTGTCACATCTTGTATTTTTTAGACATTAATTCGTCTCTCGGATTTTTTTTTGGTAAAATCTAAACCGAGAATCTTAAACCAGAGATAGCAGAGTATTCTATGTTGCTTTTAATACAACCAGGACATATCTTTCTTTTTCTTTTTATAGAATTTTCTCTTAAACTATATATTCGATCTACAATCCTATTATACCATTGTGTTCGTTGCAATTATATCTTAAAACAAGATCTTACAGGATTATATTATAATAAAATAATAATTATGTTTGTAAATTACTTTTATATGTAACCTAGAGTAACGTAGAGTACTCTCATGTATATTAATTTTACTTTTATGTGTAACCTAGATAACCTAGAGTACTCTAGTCTTAACCTAGAGTAACCTAAATCAGTTTTATGCAAGTTACTTTTATCAGCGCGACGTGAGATGCGCGGTCGGTGGTAGAAGGTCGGCGTGGCACGGAAGCCCACCTGCGCAGGAGGCCGGAGTGGCATGGAGGCACAGTTGGCCACAGGAGGTCCAACACTAAAGAGACGTGGCCGACGACTAGGCCCCACGGTTGTGAGTGACCGGCGCAGAGAGTAGGTGCTAGTGTGGCGGCATGCGGAGGTTGGTCAGCGGGGAGCGTCGGTGTAGCAGCAGTGGCGGAGGACGAAAAAAAATCTAGGTGTGGCCAATGGACAAGCGTGAGTTAATACACAACAATAATAGACCGAAAAACAACCTTAATTGCACAACACAACATCTTAACAAGACTATGTCCAGCGTGGCAACAATAACTCATGACAACCCATTATGTTTGTAACCAAGAGTAAATAGAAGAGTAGACACTAAAGAATACCGTAAGTAATAAATTTTCAGCAATACATCACATATAAAGGCTTGGGAGGATATATAGAGAGAATCTTCTAAACAAAGAAGAACAAGTGATGAAATGTGCAAGCATACCGGTCTGCTCCTGCTGTCTGCTGCACTACTCTTTTGTTGTTGCTGCCCTGCCCTGCTGCTTCCTGCTTGTCGTGCCGCGTCGCACCTGTTGCCCCTGATAGCCCGCTGCCGCGCGTCCGCTTTGGCGTGGATGCGTTGCCTAGCTGCAGGCCGCAACTGCTCACTGGCGCCCCTTCGCGGCTCCGCCTTACTGCTGCTGCTGCCATCCACTCCCGCGCCCCCGTGCACCCACGCCGTCGTCACTCGTCAAACGGCTACATAGTTGGGGAATCGATGGAGATTTGGAGATGGCCGTCTGGCCGATAGGAAATTTTGAGGTAGGGTTCACTAGTCAACAAATCAACACCCGACGTAACACAAAATAAGCCCCAAAAGGACGGCGCCATGTTGGGGGACGGCGCCATCCACTCTGGTGCCCCAAAAGGACTATTTCCGGTTTAAGTTTTTTCAGGGGTCCATTTATAAAATATTTTTTTCAAAAAAGGACCAAAATGTAAAAATTTCAGGTAGAAGGCAGGGGGTGGGGGTTCGTGCGGGCGACGCAAGGTATGACGAGCACCTGACCTTGCACTCTGCCACTGTGTAGCAGTGTCTACGTGCCAGTGGAGAATGGTCGATAGTGGAGCATCGGAGCAATATGTATGGATAGGCAGGGGCGGGCATCGTTTCCCCTCCTAAGGGCGTTGCGCCTTCCCCCTCCTCTTGTGGGCTGACGGGTAAAAACCCAGTCTTGATTCTCTCTGAGACCTCGACGGACGGCGGCAGCACCAGCACCGTCGCTTTTCTCCTTGGAGACGTCGTCTTGGCAGCCCCTTGTCAAAACCTCCCAAGTAACTGGTGCAAGCTCGCTCTAGATGTTTGTCCTCTTGTATCGGCACCCTAGTTTGCGCAAGTTGACCACATTGCAGGGCCTAGGGGGAAAGCAGTTCCATCTTCTCTCTCACCCTCTCCTCCTCAATCCCAAAAATGTGGCTAGAGCGGAGTTTTGGTGTTGGTTGTTAGGGTGGGTTTTGGGCGTTCTCGGTTGTAGTTCCTATGTTGGCCTAGCGGTGGTCGGTCACACTTAGCGGCAGTAAGTCCGATGCTAGTCTTCTCCCGGGTCTATGTGTTGGCATTGTTGATGCGTGGGTGGTGGTTATTTTTTTCTTTGTTTTCCTAATTACGACCTACTAGGGTTATAATCTTATAATTTTTTCCTGCTCTATCAATGTGAATTTTGCAATGTCTTTGGTGTAAGACGTTCAGAAAAATATCCCCATCATTTTGAGGTTATTCATTAGAAGTCTGGGTCACTTGATTTGGACATGAAGAAAGAACTTCAACCTAAATCCTCTGAAAGAGCCTCCAAAAATTGAGTCAGTGTCAGCAGTTCTATTAGGCTCCTGATCCCCCTCAACGGCATTTTGATCAGATTCTTAGTTTTGATTTTTGAGGAACCTCGCTGACACCTGACTCTCTCCAGAGATATATCTCTGCTGCTACCTAGCACAACACTTCCTGATAGTCTCCTTGATCACGAAGCTGCCTGCGAATCACCCAAAGGAAGCATGTTTGAAGCTCCAAGCTGATCACCATCATCATGCCCTTAAACTCCTTAGGTTTTCCCCTCGCTGCCACTGCTCACTTACTACAACATCATTACATTCATATTGCATTTGTGACATGCTCACTTGCACTAGACAAATCTCTTTGAAGTGCATCATTGGGAGGTGCAGGACCAGCACTTTCAGAACCATCTAACACGGGCCTTGCTGCCAGAGTAGTTTGTGTTATCATAGTTTTCACTTTGTTCTGTTGGTGCTTCTTCTCTTGCCTCAATTTCTGATTGATGCAAATGTTGCTGGTTGGATTGATCATTTTCTTTAGTGCCACCAGCAGGTACCCTGTTCATCAAGTTTTTCAGGAGTGGGCCACCTCGACTGAGAGACCAGCAGTTCTTCAATGCCTTCAGGTACTGCAAGAGTAGCTGATTCAGTGCGTTGGGGTCTGTCATCTAGCCACATATTAATACGGTGTCCACTTCGACCACTTCACAGGCTTTGGAAAATTGCATCCAAATGGGAGGAACTATTCTCATGATTCCGATCAGAGAAGGCCAACTCAACAAAATTTTCTGAATAAAGGTAATTTGCATTAGTGATACATGTGATGATACCATCTAGGTAGCACTAACATGTTAGAAAGTAAAAAATAATCAGGCAGTTATTTATTATTAGGCAAAATTGGTTATATAGCATCGAAAGATCACGTTTTTAATTTTATGGCACCGAAAGATACCTGTTCACTTTAATAGCACCCAAAAGTTCACCCCGTTCCCATTTTTAACACATCCGTCAATTCTCGATCGTTTTCCGTCTGCCTTGATCGCTATTGGCCCAGCCATGCACACGATATGACGTTTCTACCCCTCATTGCCATGCTATCTGTACTTGTGAGGGGTAGAAACGTCATATCCAGACCAAGTTATTTAAGGTGTGAATCAGCGAAACACATTCTTCATTAACTTGTAATAAATAAATTTTATACAACTTGTAGTAATAAATAAATGAACATATGTACACATTAATATTGTCGTGAAGCAATTTACAAAATAAGCATAAGTTACTCACATTTTCGTTTAAGCTTCACTACAAGAAGCATTATGGAGCAGCTCCTCCAAGTTGGCCTCTTGATAACCTCATTTTTCTAACACTTTGACAGCTAACCTCCTAATAACCTTATTTTTCTTACCCTTTAACATTATGACTTATCTTTCTAACACTTTGACATAACCTTATTTTTCTTACCCTTTGACATTATGACTTATCTTTCTAACACTTTAACAGCTAGCCTTCTAATAACCCTATTTTTCTTACCCTTTAACATTATGACTTATCTCTTATACTGGAGGGCACAGAGCTCCTCCAAGCTGGCATCCTGATAACGCTATTTTTTTTACACTAGACGGACTGACAATGATAGTCTCTTAAGAAAATGGGATGTGGTCATCACCTTCACCGGCAGGGTCAATACGAGTCCATATTAATTTTCTTATTACTAGAGATAGTTCATCATGTTTGAATATTATATGAAAGTAACTATGAAGTGCAAATAGAAGCTAGAACCAACAAGATTAAAGCTTTGTAGTTATCTTATCCCACAATCATGAAATTTATAAGTAGGAGAATCCAATGATTTCATAACTTAGTGACTCAAAGAAATCCTATTCACTACGAACATATTCAACCAGTCAAACTCAAGCCCAAGTCTCGATTCAATTAGATTTACTAAAACTCTATTTTTTATATATATATACTTTTAAACTTCAACTCTAACAGCAAAGTTATCTTATCCCGGAATCATAAGATTCATAAGTTGGAGAATCCAATGATTTCATGACTTAGTAACTCAAATAAATCATGTTCACTACGAGCGTATTCAACGATTCAAACTCATGCCCAAGTCTCGATTTAATTGGATGTACTAACGCCCTATATTTGTTTTATATACATTTTTGAACTTAGTGAATTCTAAACCCTCGGGAGGATATCCTCTCATTATTTGCAAGTCATACATATAATTATGAAAAATTTTCAAAAAAAAACTTAATAAGAAATTAATATATAGTAAATTACTCCAAAAACATGCAAGTTAAAATTTAACTTTTATATTTTGTAACGAAAAAAATAAATTGAATTATGACTAATTAACGCATAATAAAATTGAAGGGATTTAGAGGAGAATAATTCATAGAATTAATCATATAAAAACTCTTTTTTTATGAAAACCTTAGAAAAATAATTTAGCAAAAAAATTTTAGTAAACTTGAAAAACTGATTGGCTAGGCAGTCATAGTTATTATTAGGATGGGTAAGTTTATTAGTGGAAGCTAAAAATTCCCACATTAATAAAAAAAATACCATGAGATTAATTAAAATTTGAAAAATAAAAAAGTAAAAAATATATTATATTATATTATTAAGAGGATAAGCCGAGGGAAGACAAAAGAGTTAAGCATGCATTGACAAAGCAAATTTCTAACAACTAAAAAACCTAATAATGATTGGATTTGATTTTTCCAGTCTTAATAATAGGAATGGTAATGGGCAATCAAAGAAGTAGGATAGTAGCATGTGACATTTAAAATTTATAAGCCAGACCCAATAATGATTAGTTTAGATCATTTTTAATAATGATAATAAAAATAAGAGGCAACCGTAAAATAGTAAGATGGAGTTGTTTGATGTAACTTCTTAAAGGAACCTAGCAAGACAATGAACTCTAGGTTTGATTTTTAAAGATAATATGGTGGAAGCTGTAACGAACAGAAAAATATGTACGTCAGGCAAAGAAATAAGGAGTGTGAGTGGTATGATTTTTTTTAAAAAAAACTACAAAATTAGGATCCTGCTATTGATAAAGTATGAATTTTCAAAATCCTAAAACAATAAGATGACTATTTCTCAATTTTTTAAAAGAAAATCATATGTAAAAATATTTGGATATTTTAGTATGGGTGCTAACTATATAATTATGTAGGCCCACCATGCTAAATTAAACACCTTTACCACTTATTTAATATGTATGTTAGTATTAACTGTTGTCAAATGACAACTGCGTCTGTCGAATGACAGGCTTTACTCTAGTAGAAAAGGAAAAACAATATATTAATATTGAAAATCTTCTTAGGGATACCCTCAATACATGCCCCTTGGGGCCTATTTATAGGCTTAGTGCAGCCTCATGTGCCCTAGGGTTTACTAAGACAAGGGAATTTATATTGTTACCCTTGTGATACGGACATTTATGAGAGTAATTATAGACAATTTAGTCTTGGGCTTTTTCTTGGGCCGTCAGGAGGGCCTCCATTAGTTGCTTGGCCACTCTGGGCCTAGAGTCCTTCAGCTCGGGGGGCGAAGGTCTTCAGCTTAGCCCAGAGCCTCTGGGCCTGTTTGGAGGAGCTTTAGATTCTGAGAAGCAGCTGTTTGGTAGCCAGCTTCTGAGAATCTGGAAAAGCTCTAAAACCCAACTTCTCCAGCTTCTGGCTTCTTAGTTCATTTTTCAGAATCTGTAACTACATATTCTCAGAAGCTGTGGACTGTTTGGGGCAGCTTCTAGCAGAAACAGCTTTTGGGAAAAGCTGCAGCTGGGAAAAGCTCCCCCAAACAGGGCCTCTGTCTTTGTGACTTTCGGCGTTTTGTCACCATGATTCATCCTAGTGGTTGTAGACTTGTTTTGACAGGCTCAGTCAAAGGCCCTCGTAACATACATCTAACATTAACTATCATAGATGAAAAAAAATCAGGGAACCAACAACCAAAACATAGGACTGCGAAGTGCAATAAGGTTGGCTATTTTTGTTGGTATCTCGCTTGGCTTTGTTCGGTCCTACACAAACAAGAGATTAATGAAAGATTTATGTTGTTTTTCACACGTTTTCCAAACTATTGTTTTAAAAACTTCATATAAAATAATAGTGTTAATAAAAAAATTTCCTTCCCTATCCTTGAAATTTTAGTCGATCCCTTCTATGTCCTTTAGTTTTCTTCACCCCCTGGTATACCTCTGAATTTTGATTTGGATCTGTTACATACCCTTGTCATCAATTGATCGTTAGTTGACCGTTTAATAGGTGTAGAAAAGTCAATTTTACCCTTCAATATTTGAGGAATATGTATAACTTTGTGGACTATACTGTTGGAAGTATAGAAATTTGTTGTGTGACTATAATATTCATAAGTTTGTTGTACATAAAAAAATTAATATATATTAAAATAGAATGTGTAGCATTTTTAAATGATAAACATAGTTTTGGAAAGCATTCCTATATAATATATACAACATGAAAAAATATGTTGAACTACCATAAAAAATGCTATGTAAACTCTTTTAATAAGTAAATAAGTATTAATTTTTATGTCATTATGTAAAAGTAAACTTTTCCATGAATAATACATTGTACAATAAAATCATGAATATAATAGTCTTTTATAAAAAAAATTATACATTTCCAACAATATAGCTATTCTATAATTTCCACATTTCCTCGAACAACAAGGAATGCACAGCGCAACTTATCATCACGAACATCCAGAACCTCTCACTGGTTCCAGGGACATTTATAATGATTTGCCACTCGCTGTCTATGACATGTGGACCCTCATATATCTATGGCATGTGGGTCTAGTGGCAAATTATTTAGAGCCACTCATAAGAGTGGCAAATAGTTAATTATTCCCTGGTTCCACGTCTGTCTCTCCAAGCAGAGCAACAACTCTAGCTCCTTAAGACTATGCTCCAAGAGACCCATCTCACAAACACACGAGACATCATATCAAGTTCCCTAGCAGCAAAATCTAGTATCTTCACAAGCTCCCCCCCACCCCCCCCCCCACACACACACACCACACACCCAAAGAGTAAAATTCTTCGCCTGGCTCCTCACTAAAAACAAGCTCCCAACACGCTGCAACCTCCTCCAAAAATACATTACACAGTTTGCCTCCTGCGAGATATGCAACCAACCTGTAGAGGACAGACCATCTTCCTCAACTGCACACTTGCCTCGGCTTTCTGGTCCCTCATCTAAGTACCTCCAGGTCCGGACTCCATGGCAAACATCGACAGGTCTCCCTCTTCAGGGGATCTCCCAAGCACCCTACACAGGAATTCTCTGCTACTGCTGATGGAGGCTCTGGATTCACAGGAATGAAGTAGAGTTCCAGGGGATTCACAACGTCTTCTCAAGAACTGCTTGGAGGATGTTGGCCTCTGGTCACATCGGTTTAGCTCCAACCACCGTTGCGTTGTCTCAATTTGGAAATCAATATTCGCGAGGGCGCTCTGCCTCCTGTAATCTTCTGATTTCTTTGCCTTTTTTTCAACTCCGCTTGGGGAGTTGGGGTTTTATCTTCTTCAGGTTTTCCCGTGTAGTTCTCTGTTTCCTTTTGTTCCTTGATCCTCCCCTTGTACAATGACTTTATTTGAATCTTATTCAGGTGCCCAACCTGACCGTTAAAAAAATCCACGTTCCCTTCATGTCTAAGGGCAAAATAGTCTTTTTCATAGGAATTAAACATTCATCTAACGGGATGAGCATGAAAGGGGTCAAAACTAAAATTCAGAGGCATACAAGGGAGGGGACAAGACTCGGAGATATAGAAGGAATTGGTTAAACCTTTAGGGGACATATAAAGGATTTTCTCTAGTTTTAAACAAACAATGATATTAATTTATTTTTTATTAAAATAATTAATATTTAATTAATCAGAAATGCTACTTACCGGTATACCGTTTGGGGTCGGTCCTGGACAGGACAATTTCTTAAGGATCAGATACACACCCTCGAGAAGCATCTAAGTCACTCCCAAACAGACACCTACAGCTCCCAAACTGTCGCGACCATGGCTGCGGTGGCGGGGTCGGCGGCGGTGGAGCCTGCTCGCGGCTCCTCCTCTTCAGCGGCGCCGGTGCGCACGAGGTTAGTTGTACCGGTGAGGGAGAGTGGCGTGAGCGTGGTGGTGGCGGCGTCTGTGGTGGAGCCAGTGGCGGCTGCTGCGGCGGAGCTAGTGCGCACGATACCCCTTTCTTTTATTCCTCTTTTTTAATCGATTTCCTGATTTCATTTTTAACATCTCTTCATTTTTGCGTTTTCTTGGGTTCGTTGAATCCCCAACCTATGGATGGGGCTCGTCATAACACATCCAAATTGAAATCAAAGTAAGCTAATACTCTCCCTTTTTTCTGTGTGTTTTTGTTCATTCACTGGGGGTGTTCGTAGTAGAGGTGAGGGATGTGTGTATGTGCTGAATCATATGATACTTGATATGATACTTGCAACAAAATGTTCGAATTGGAATAGATCGCTAAAAATGCTTCTAGCTGTATATAGATGGGAAGGCAAATATTTCTTGGAGCAATTTTGTCGTTATCAAGTACACACTGTCTTGAAACAGAGAAATCTCCATTCAACTAGTAGCTTACTGCTTAGGATTTTTTTAGGTGAACTGAAGCGTAAACAAAATTAGAGAAATCTACATCAGTCAGTTGATGGCTTCTAGTTCTGGGCACGCTTTGCTTGTCAATTGTTATCCTCTTTGTCATAGAGGGCAATGTGTGGCGATAGAGATGGCAGATGCAGCTAAGTCATAGATACAGATGATTTGGATTTTTTTTCCTGTTGATGTTTGCAGATCTCAGTGGCTGGCTGGGTGTTTTCTGTTTTAAAATGATTTGATACTTTGGTTCAATCGAGGATGAATCACCATTGAAATGATATTTTCTTTGTCCTTTCACACATGTGCACAGAGTTGAAATGGCATTGCCATCTGCTTCAAGCGAATCCGATTTCATGCATGTTTCAAAGAAGACAAGGTGCTCTCCAAGGTTGAACAAGGGCTCAGCTTCACCCCGACTTGACAAATCTAACACTGCTCATTCCAACAAGAAGACATGTGCAATAAAACCCACTGTACATCGCAATGGTCCTATGGGAAAATCAAAATGCGCTTGCAAAAAAGAGTTGAAACTAGACAATGAAAATGCGGTACTTCTTTGAATTTTTAGTTTTTACAAGGTGATTATGTTTCTTTTTTTTTCAAGAAACGAATTTTTTGCTTCATTCTTGTCATCCATGCAGGACTACATGAAAGAATATCGTAGGGAGCTATGCAAAAGGTTGCTGTACCATTGCTTCAACGACTTACATCCAAAACGTCGTTTCTAAGCTTCAGAACCAATATGCTCATTTGGTTCAAGCAGTGTTGGATGTGTGCTTAGTCCATTTTTGTAGCCCCCTCCCTCCCTCTGCCCCAACCAACATATGTAACAAGTCAAGTTTCAGAACTGTGTATGTGGCTACTGTTTTTGTCTTAAACTGGAAGGTTGTGAAGGGCACAACAATCAAATGACATGAACTGTGTATGTGGCTACTGTTTTCATGTACATATATGTTGGTAAAGAAGTGAATTATATTAGGTAGACCTTTTCTGTGGACTAAATATAGTTTGAGTACGTTGTACACAATGAAACTGAGTTCAGTATCATATGAAACCTGAGGAAATGATACCGAGGAGGATCATGATACATCCTAGAGTTCACATGATCCTACTCAAGTATCATATGTGAAACCTATAGGGAACCACTTTACAAAACATGATACTGGATAGGATCATGTGATACTTCACAGGTATCAATCATAATGAAACGTGATTCTCCTTAAAGTTTCATTATGTGTGATACCTGTAAAGTCTCACATGATCCTACCTACCCAGGTATCATGATAGATGATTTTCCTAGGTAGGATCATGTGTGATACTTCATAGGTATCACACCATCCTACTAAAGTATCACCTCTGAAACCCCACAAGGATCATGTTACCAGAGATGATACCCAAGTAGGATCATGTGTGATACTTGTAAGTATCACACCGTCCTACTAAGTATCATCTGTGAAACCTATAGGGATCATGTAAGAAGACATGATACCTAAGTAGGATCATGTGTGATACCTCACATGTATCACACTTAATTATACTTTTTTGAGGAGAAATATATGATGCTACAGAGGTATCACATGATCCTACAAGAGTACCATGTGATCCTCTAGAGTATCATGTGATCCTCTATTAGGATCATGTGATCCTACTAGAGTATCACATGATTCTAATAGAGTATCATCTGTGAAAACCACAGGAATCATGTGCTACTTGTGTGAAAATTTTCAGCAATCACATGAGAATTGTGTGTGAAAAACTATCTCCACCAACAGGCAAGACACTCAGTGTACATCTTTTGATCATTTTTCTAATACAAAAGTTCAACGATAGTATGCAAACACACAAGCAATCTTTTGACAAATATTGGAGATTAAGCAGTCATTTTTTGTACAAAGGTTAATGTTTGTAGTGTCATAATTACAAATCCCCTTTTTTTTCAGCCCTGCATACAACCAAACAATTATAAGTTTCATACTTTCTACAGAAGCATTTCATGAACAACTTGTCAAAAGTTTACCTGTACACTATTTGCAACTATAGACCACTAGCTTTAACACTTTTTTCTGACTTCTTTCTTTTCTTTCCCCTGTTGTTACCATCAAGAACAGATTTCAGCCTAGTTGATTTTCTTGGCCTACCCTTTGAAACTTTCTTTTTGGGAAACTTGTTGGCTGTTCTTGATTCACCGCCAGGGCTGCCCGATGCTAAAGCTTTAGGTTCCCTGGTTATACGCTCTGAATGACAAGAAAATTCATACATGTTATACTCTTTTGTGACATGACTTTTCTTGTTGCTCGAGACCTTTGTGCCAAAACCCCAATCTTTTACATACCGATTGTAGTAGTCCTGAGCTTCCTTATGTGACAAAAATTCCATGCCAACAAAGGGCCCTGCTACCTTCTTCTAGTGAATACCATCAATTTATGCACCACACAGGGACAAGTCATGCATATCATATGTTCTATCCACTTCCATATCATCTGGGTCACATCCAACTCTAACAAGGACCTCTTTTAATATCTCTATTTCAGCACTTAACTCATCCGACACTAACTCATCTACTACTGCTGTCACAACTGACTCGCTAGCCACAAACACACTAGCAGAAAGTGCACACAAAGGGGATTCACTCGGTAGAGAAGTGGCTTTAGAATTCTTACGCGTGCTAATGTTGAGCTTGCAGCGCAGAGCCGGAGCATAATCAATCGACGAGGCAAGAGCAGAGTGCCGGATTGTAGAGGAAATCGGCAAACACCGCGTGCGCTGGCACAATCAACCGAGGAGGCACGCGATTCCGAGGATGAATCTTCGGGATGCGGAGGTGCTCGCGCTTGCGAGGAATCGCGCGATTCCGAGGAAGATTCATCGGGTTGCGGAGGAGCTCGTGCCGACAAGGAATCGCGCGTGGAGGCACGCAATTCTGAGGAGGATTCGCTGGGATGAGTTCAGGCAGGGCGGCGAGCATTGGTGCGATATGATTCTTTCTGTTTTTGTTGACGCGCGCGGTGGCGATACCGTGTCGGTTTCAGAATCATCCTGTTTTTCAACGAGATACTGGTATATAGCAGCCCTCTTAATTAATTTCTCTAATGATTCTCAATCTTGTGTTCTTCTTCTCAAAACGCTCGATGACCCAATGTTCTCCCAAAGCCGATGGAGTTTACGGCAAGAGATGCGGGCAAAAGGCGCAGACGCGCAGTAAAAGGCTTCAGCTCAGCCTCGTTTCCACCAGACAAAAGAGAAGCCCCGTAAAATTATATATGTAATTTACGGACTTATAATGTAAATACATGCTGACTATTTTTTAAAAAAAATATAATCTTACAATGTATAATTTTAGATGAAAAATATGCCGATTATTTTTGATGAAAAATATAACATCATAAATATAGCTACTTTCAATATTTTTTATAAAATACTTTGTAAAATACGTACCGTTTAGCAGATTGGAAAGCGTCTTGGGGAAAACGAGCTTAAACATATTCTTACAAAGTGAAGATGTACTAGGGCCGCCTCATTAATCTTGCTCATTAATCTTGCAATTAATCCAGAAAGCAACGGTAATTAATCTAACGAAAGCCCTCCTCCCTTTCTCCCCACTCGGCCACGCTCCGCATCGGCAGCAACCGTTGCGACCAATTCCCCCAATTCCATTCCATTCCCCTCCTCCCCCGGAGAGAAACCCTAGCAATGGAGCCCAAATCCACCACCCCTCCTCCGCCTCCTCCGCCCCCCGTGCTGGGCGCCCCCGTCCCTTACCCGCCGGCGGGAGCCTACCCCCCACCCGTCGGGCCCTACGCCCACGCGCCGCCGCTCTACGCCCCGCCTCCCCCCGCCGCCGCCGCCGCCTCCGCCGCCGCCACCGCCGCCTCGCAGCAGGCCGCCGCCGCGCAGCTCCAGAACTTCTGGGCGGAGCAGTACCGCGAGATCGAGCACACCACCGACTTCAAGAACCACAACCTCCCCCTCGCCCGCATCAAGAAGATCATGAAGGCCGACGAGGACGTCCGCATGATCGCCGCCGAGGCCCCCGTCGTGTTCGCCAGGGCGTGCGAGATGTTCATCCTCGAGCTCACCCACCGCGGCTGGGCGCACGCCGAGGAGAACAAGCGCCGCACGCTCCAGAAGTCCGACATCGCCGCCGCCATCGCCCGCACCGAGGTCTTCGACTTCCTCGTCGACATCGTGCCCCGCGACGAGGCCAAGGACGCCGAGGCCGCCGCCGCCGTTGCCGCCGGGATCCCCCACCCCGCCGCCGGTTTGCCCGCCACCGACCCCATGGCCTACTACTATGTCCAGCCGCAGTAACATTTTCCTACCGTATAGCTTCAAGTTTATTTAGCGATTTTTATTTATGGAATGCTTTTCTGCTGTTGTCGTAGTTGTTATTATGTTTTGCTTGTTGTTGCCGTGTAATAACTAGAAGATGTGATTATCATTGTGAGGAGCCTCCTCTCGGTGTATAAACAATCCGATTTGAGGATTGGGCGAGCTTTGTTGCGATTGAGGAAGGCTGTATGGTGGTTTTGATGCATGTCTAACTTATATCACAATGAATTATTTATTACCCATGTTCTCTCTTAGTTGTTGTTCAACATCAGTTACTGAGAAATGATTTATTCTCTATTTCCTTTGTCTAATTTGGTTGTGACAGTATATTTTAGACATTTAGGATGGAACTTAAACAGCACATGTTTCTGCTCAAAACATATATTTGTGAAGCTTTGATTTTAGTTTTATGTTTTGCCTTTGCTGCAATGTCCAGCTATATGACTGTTTGGTACTTTTTTTTAGTTATGAATGGGCATTTCATTTCCTCCTTTAAGTAAGTATTCAATGTGTGAAACTATGGATGTATTACTTTCAGTGTATGATGTACCAAAGTCTTGCATTCTGTTGTTATAGCTGATGTTATAGACCTGTATGCACACAAGTGTCCTTAGTTCCATGTGTAATTTGTATTCTCTTTGCAACATCTGTTGTGTGCACTTACTGATATTTACTTATTAATTTGACAAAGTTTTGCTTAGCGTTCATGTTTATATTCTTCGACATGATGATTCTTCTGTAGTCAGGACATTTGAGTGACTTGATGGATTATTGGCCGTCTTTTGAGCAGTGGCCCTAAATCATCTTGATGGTTGTTCATCAACAAACTTAGGAAAAGAGCTCCATGCTCTATCTACCTTTGGATCCAAATCCAGTGACAATACTGGCCTTGATAAGCTGTAATGGTCAATTCAGTATGTGATTTTATATTCTGCCAAGCCACAAAATTTGTTGCTTTGTGATCATGATTGCCACGAGCACTCACTCCACTTAGTCACTGACAAGACTTCTTTTAACTGTACACCTGAAAACACCCCAATATTCTTATAGTTTCAGCTGTTCATGGTTGAGGACTGGAAAAGCACTAGTAAGAGACAGGAGACAAGTGCTTATCTTATGTTCTATCATACTGACTTGGCTGCTCGTTTATAATTTCTTTGTACCTCAAATTGCTTTGTATCTTGCATTATGTTTCTGTTATGTAGTGATTGGTTGTAACATCATGGCTAAACAAAACTTTTGCGGTTCTGAAAAAAAAAACAGGAATTGCTAATTTGAAATCAGCGTTGGCTGGGATAGGTCAATCAATGACAGGTAGGATGTCACACTCATAACAGCTCTCTGAAAAATAAAAGGATATGTCCCGTTATTCTACCTGATGGCTAATGGAAAGATTGTCATGTTTGCATGTTCGGATAATCGTTGAGCGATTGGTCTGGAGCCATCTCCATTCAGTTTGCCTGTGAGAAAACTGCCTATGTGGAATCTTGCAAGGTAGTTCGATGACTGAAAAAATAACATTTCTTTGCTGAAATGCATAATGTTATTACATTGTCAAAACTGACTGGAAACCAGAACAACAAAGTATTTGAGTTTCAGGAACTAAATCAATACAAAGAATATGCCCTTTGGACATCTCAGGGCTAAGAAAAAATGTTGTTGTCTCGTAACCATTGGAGCACAAGCAGTGGTCAGTCCGTCCTATGCGAGCATGCAGCGACAAACATTTGCGATCCCCTTCTGTATCCTCCAAATCAACACAATAAACTGGCTGCACTGCAAGTTCGAGAGAGCAAACTTTCATCGGAATTTCGTCAACAATCAACATCAAGTTTTCAATGCAAACGAAGTAAAGAGTTTGTGGTAGTATAGAATTTGAACTAGCATAGATAGAAATTGATACCAAACCAAACGTTCATTTGAAACTATTGAAGTTGCAAAAATTTTGGTAGGACAAAAATTCACTACAATCCAAACAAGCCCAAAATTTGCTGAAACAATGTTGAGGTATCCAATTATAATTTCACTTGCTGGCATGTGGCATCGTAAGTCCAGATTTCACAATTCACATCAGACAAGCATTCTAAGAGCCTATTCGTTTTAGAGAAATTTCAACACACAGAAATACAAAATGTAGAGGAATAGGAATACATGCACACTTCAATCCATAGGAATTTTTCCATGAGGTTCGTGTGGATAGAAAATTTCCTTGTTCTCTCTACAACTTGTAGGAAAGGAAAATTTTATTTGATTTTTCTATATATACATTCCTATGAACCAAATGACATTCACAGGAATTAATCCTTAGGAATCCAAATCATTTGAAATTCCTCAAAAATGAATAGGCCCTAATTGTGACTAATGATTGTTTTTCTTCTGAATCTTCACTATTTTACACATAGTTGTTGACATAATTTTACTCCCAAAGTCCATAACATTTTTCTTTCTCAAGATTTGAAGAAGAAAGCCACAGCTTACCTTAGCCTCCGGCCTACGAGCACAAGATGAACTTGCCGGAGCACATGGTGGCGGCGGCGACGGCGAGCAGGCAGGCGGCGACGATGTTCTGGTAGCACCACCGGAGCGGGCCCCACGCACCGGCGCCCTCGACGCTGGCGCACTTGGCCCTCGTCACCCCGTACTGCGGCTCCTTGGACAGGTCGAACGCCGCACCCTTCATCCGGAGCTCCTGCACGCACCGCGCCAGCGCGCGCGCGTCGCCGCGCTCCCGGCGCAGCCGCCGCGACGCGCGCCAGTAGGCGCAGACCCGGAGCTGCACGGCCGCCGCGAGCGCGAGGGACGCGACCAGCGACAGGGACGACGGCACCCACCACCTGCTGCAACAGGCGGCGCGCTGCTCCGCGGGCGGCGAGACGGCGGACGCGGACACGGAGGCGGCGAAGAGGAGCGCGAGGGAGAGGCCGTGGAAGGCGAGGAAGGCCGCGCAGAGGTAGAACGCGTCGCGGCGCGCCGCGTCCATGAGCGCCTCGAGCGCGCACGCGCGGCGGCCGAGGCGGGACTCCTCCCGCTGCCACAGCTTCAGCAGCAGCAGGTGCCCCGCGCTCCCGGCGATCTCGCCAAGCGGATGGCTCCCGGAAGACTCCGCCTCCGCCGCCTTGTCAAGAAACGCGGCGACCTCCGCGTTCCCGCCATCAGGACAAGCCCCGTCGCCGGTGACCGGGATCTCCACGATGTGGACGGCGTTCTTGATCGGCTGCTCCTCCATAGATCAGAATCCAGAAGCTCCCAAGAAGTCAAGAAGCGATGGTTCTGGAAGGAAAGCGGGGATTCGTTTGGAAAGCTTCGAGTTGATCTGAGATTGGAAGCCGCGAGATCGGGGAGAAGAGGAGATGGAAGGGGAGAAGCGATGATTTGCGTGGGGCGCGCGTGGATTAAGGGAAGGTTTGGGTCCAACGGTCGAGTGCTTTAGGAGGCAGGTAACGGTCGGATTTTGGACCGGGGTGGTAATTTCGTAGGATGGTAGGGGCCCTTTTGCATATTACTAATGGTCGTTTAACACAGCGATGATAATGGGCTGTTTCTGGACGTTATCATCCGTAAAAGCTGATGATATGGTCTAGCATGTAATGTGCCGTGATGCGATTATGCGAACATGCGTGAAATGTGATACTAATGGTCTTCTGTATGTATTGCTACCAATTTGCCGTACCAATATTTTCGTAATTTAAATGGTATGTTTGGACTGGAACTACCGTTGAGACGGTACACCGTCCCATAGTTTTTCTCTTATTGATAATGACCATGCTATATTTGGCATCAATCTAGAATATTATTATTCACTGTACTTTTACATTTGGCTTCATATTGATAGTAATCCAAATATAATCAAATGCAATTTTACCAAAAAAAAACATGATTTACCAAAGGTTAGGTAAATTTTGGTATTACTTAAAAAAATTGGTAAGATAACAATCCAAATAGACCCCCTAAGTTCATTGGCATTTTGGCTGGTACAGTTGTTGTAGGTTGGTTTGTATTTGTTAACGCTACAGAATTATTAGAACAAATTCGACCAACTAATCCGCATATCTATAGTGGCGAAATCAAGTTGGATTCACTGGAAAGCATAATCATGTGCTTGTGCCTGGAAGACATAGAAGCGATGGACATGATCGAAGGAGCCGCCACCATCATCCATAATCAAGGTGGTGTCTCACCTCACCGCACAGCAACCACATAATTTCTGACATTTCCATAGCTCTGCAATGGTGCAATCGAAGAGCTTGATTTTCTGGGGTATTTGGCTGACGAACACTAACAAGTGTATGTCGCCGTCATCTACCTTGGGGACCCTGATTTCAATGGTGCATTCCATCCCTTCGCGGAGGAGCGCCAAGCTGATGTCCACGGCGCCATGGACGCCATGGATCCGTTGTGAGTACACCCCGTGAAACGGTGAGAGGTCGCTGAAGGCGGCCACCCCATTGATGAGCTGCAGGTCGTCCTGTTCCTCCTCCCCTCTCTTCATCTTGAGGTCGTACTCGATCATGCATGGAGGAATTCTGCAACGAGATGTGTCTCGCTTAGGACCCCACAAACTTACGAGTGAATCGGGATCGGAGTAGTGTCCTGGCAAGACGAAGGGGTCGTCCCGGCTACGGCGGAAGACGTAGTTGCGCAGGAGTTCGTAGAGATCCCGGGCAGCCATGTAGCCATAGATCTGAACCGGAGCAGCGGCGGCGGACAGAGCAGCTATCCTGACGGAGAAGATCTGCATCATGGCACGGCGTGCGGTTGGCTCGAGATCTGCCGTCCGTTGAATCGGACGCCTGTTTAACTACTGCAGCCAAGTACGGCAAGGAGCTCAACAAGATATTTTCTGCATGTACATTTGCATTGCACCTAGTTGCATGCATGTGTTGTGATCAAAATAGTTGTATAAATATGTATATTTTTTAAAAGTATTTCATGCAAAAAAAAACTGAAAAAAATTAAAGGTTGATGATCATGGTGTAAATTATCATACAAACATGTGAATCCAAATTTAACATATATTTAGAGAAACGAAAATAAAATATCAAGTTTTTTACCGGTAGTATTTGATGTTAGATTATATTTTATTATTTTTGTTTTTAAAAAATTAGACCAAATTTAGCCTTGCATGTGTCTTTATAGACTTACGGTGCCATAATATATAGTACTAGTTTTTTTCAAATTTTTACAACTCATTCTAGCCCGTCTTGTACTTTACAAGTTACAACTCATGTCAACCAAAGACCATAGAAAGATGAGACGGTTCCTCTTCCCCTTGTCACGAACGACGACGACGCCGGAGTCAGAGTAAGGAGGAACCAAAGAGACGAAGAGCGGCAATGATAGACGGTCTTTGGTTGATATGAGTTGTAAGACACAGCCAGACAGGACGGGCTAGAACGAGCTGTAATTTTTTTTAAAAAAACTAGTAATATATATTATGGCACCATAAGTCTATAAATTAAGAACATAGAAGGCTAAATTTGGTCTATTTTTAAACAAAAATAATAAAATATAATCTTACATCAAATACTACCGGTAAAAAACTTGACTTTTTATTTTTGTTTTCTCTAAATATATGTTAAATTTGGATTCACATGTTTGTATGTTAAGTTACACCATGATCATCAACCTTTAATTTTTTTCAGTTTTTTTACATGAAATAGTTTTAAAATATATATATTTATACAACTATTTCGATCACAACACATGCATGCAACTAGGTGCAATGCAAATGTAGGTGCAGAAAACATCTTGTTGAGCTCCTTGCCGTTGTTGGGCCGAACTTGGCTGCAGACCTGCAGTAGTTAAGGAGGCAACTACGTACTACCTCCGTCCCATAAAAATTAAATTTAAAACCATATATGATATATTCTAATACAATGAATCTGAACGGATATATGTCCAGATTCGTAGTTCTAAGATGTGTCACATTTAGTACTAGGTTGGTTTTTATGGAACGGAGAGAGTACGTGACTACTGAGGAGTCCGGACAGGCGTCCGATTCAACGGACGGCAGATATCGAGCCAACCGCACGCCGTGCCTTTTGGCAACGAAGTCAGAGGCTGAGAGCCATATGATTTTTCTCTTCCGAACAGGGAGAGGATCGGTGAGACGACGCAGCCGTGTTGGATTCGGATACGGTTTCACATGATCACATCAGATTATATCAGAATCAGATAGCCCAATAACTCAAAAAAAAAAAGACCCAGCCAGAGAGCGATTAATCGATCGATCGATCTCTCTCATGGGGAGGGAAGACGACGCCGGCGATCACCAGCGACCGGAGCCACAGGCGAAGGAAGAGAACTCGTCGACGTCGGCATCTCCTTCCCACGATCCAAAGATCACGCAGGAGGAGAAGAGATGGGAGGATGAAGATGATGAGTACGAGGAAGAGGAAGAGGAATTGCTGTATGATGTCGACGACGGCGAGGACGCACCGGCCGAAGCCTGCGTTCTCACCGGCGTGAAGCACAGCGACGGATCCATCTACAAGCCGAAACCCCCCTACTCGCTCCTCGGCCTCTACCACCTCGACGACGCCAGCGAGACCCGCTTGGAGCCCATGAGGCTGACGGCTCCCACCGATCGCTGCCGGCCATGCTTGCTCGATTGCACGGTCCACTACGGCTGCGCCATGATTCAGATCTTCTCCGTCAGGATAGCTGCTCTGTCCGCCACCGCCGCCACCGCTCCGGTTCAGATCTACGGATTCATGGCTGCCCGGGACCTCTACGAACCCCTGCGCAACTATGTCTTCCGCTGCAGCCGGGACGACCCCTTCGTCTTGCCGGGGCACTACTCCGATCCCGATTCGCTCATAAGTTTGTCGGGTCCCAAGCGAGGCGTCTCGCTGCAGAACCCCGCCATGATCGAGTACGACCTCAAGATCAAGAGAGGGGAGGAGGAACAAGACGACCTGCAGCTCATCGACGGGGTGGCCGTCTTCAGCGACCTCACACCGTTCCACGGGGTGTACACCCAGCGGATCCATGGCGTCCATGGCGCCGTGGACATCAGCTTGGCGCTCCTCCGCGAAGGGATGGAATGCACCATTGAAATCAGGGTCCCCGAGGTAGCTAATGGCGGCATACACTTGTTAGTCTCTTGCTTCGTCAGCAAAATACCCCAGAAAATCAAGCTCTTCGATGGCAAGGCCAGTCGTTTGGAATCAGAAAAAAATCCTAGTCCATGGGGGCGAGCTAGCCCATAGGAGCGAGAAAAGGCTGGCTCACAAGGGAGAGCCGAATCGGCTCGCCTCCGACGGCAAGCTCCTCGCGCGAAAAAAATCGTTGATAAGGATAAAGCGATTTTTCCCAAAAGTTGTTGCTTTCTTCAACAAACAGTCCCCCAATTTCGTCCTCCTCCTCCACTCTTCGCTAAAGAATCGGGCTTGCAGATCTCGTCGCTCTCTTCCCCCACTCTTGGCTGAACTATAGGACTCACAGATCTGGTCAATTTGCAATCATCCTCCTCCCCTTGCCGAACTGTCAGGTAATCTCGTGCCCATATAAAAATGTTGTAGAGCCTCCAGTCTCCACGCAGTAAATCGGAGAGCAAGGCCAACTCGATTTGAGGAGAGCTTGTTCTTGCAGAAGTTTGCTGCTGGACACATGATTGCTCGTGGTGAGAGCTGAGAAGCTCCTAGATTTGATTTCTTCCGCCGGCGGCGCCTCGTCTGTCTAGAGAAGGTCCCAAATTTGATTTCTTCCGCCGACGGCACCTCGTCTGTCTAGATTTGCAGGTACGAGAACCTTTTTCTTTTATTATATCTCTCCATCTTCCTGCCATGGATGGATGTATGCGAGTTGTATATGTTGCTTCATGTACTATTTCCACATCCAGTAATCTTATTTTGGGCCTTTGGTGCTGGATTCTGATTTTGCATTAATGGGGATTGTCGATGGTATGTGCAGTAGTAGCTAGGAACTTTCTGACCGTCGGCACCAATCAAGAGTAGAAGTATGCATTATACATTGATGTTTGGTATTTGCTCTTTAGACCGTCATTTGTCCATTAATTTTTTCCCTTGTGTTCATATTATTTGACACTGCCGTATAGCCGTACTTCTATATAGTGTTTGATTAATTGGTACGAAAAACAGGATTCAGAACAAACATGAGTTGCAATACAGGAATAAAGGTGCTTTTATCGATCAGCACCTAATAAGTATTTATTATGTTGATACATAGTTTTATTTTGTTATGCTCGTTCCTTTTTTTCTGGCGCATTTACTTTATGCATATTACTCTGCATGTATCCAATCAGTATTCATTTTTTTTTATATTTTTATTTATAGATGGATGGCAGTGCACTAATTAATAGAAGAATTGCATTCTTCAGTGCATTCTTAGTGGCATACTGGACATGGATCATATATAAGCGCAAGAATAGTGACCCTATTAGATACTCGTTGTTAGAGAAAAATAGAGAGAGGATAGTCTATTTACAAAAACTCTATTGTGGTGAGGAGAGACATTGTATCTGTGAACTACGTATGGGTAAAACCGTGTTCTTTAAACTATGTCATAAGCTGCGTAGTATGGGAGCATTGAGAGATACTTGGCACTGTACTGTAGAGGAACAGATTGCCATGTTTCTCACTACGGTAGGACATCACAAAAAAAATGGTGATATTGGCTTCCACTTCACAAGGTCTGGTGAAACTGTGAGTTGGTACTTCAATAAAGTATTATATGCAATCGGGCATCTTGGAACAGAAATGCTTAGGCATCGCACGCATGATACGCCATCAAAGATTTTGGGCAACCAAAGGTTTGATCCTTATTTTAAGGTATAACTTTATTCACATTTCATCTAAAATTAAAAACATGTTGGAGTTTTGCATGTACTTACTTGGTTGGTAATTGAATGGTTAGGACTGCATTGGTGCCATTGATGGGACCCATGTTCCATGCAATGTTCCATCTCGAATATCGGATAGATTCCGGGGTAGAAAGCCATTTCCTACACAAAATGTTCTTGCTGTTGTTGACTTTGATTTGATGTTTACATATATTAGTGCTGGTTGGGAGGGTTCAGCACATGATTCAACAGTACTGAGACACTCTCTTGAGCATCCTAATGGCCTACGAGTCCCTGAAGGTTGCTGCACTTCTAATAACTTTATATCTCAAATATAACTTATGCATACACCTAGTAGAATTGATCATGCTAATGATATTATAACAGGGAAGTACTATCTTGCGGATGCTGGGTATGCTGCTAGGAGAGGATTCCTACCACCGTTTCGCCAAACCTGATACCATTTGCGTGAATGGAAAAGCAATAAACCCAAGACAACAAATGAACTATTCAACTTAAGACACTCTTCTCTCCGTACTACTGTTGAGAGAGCGTTTGGAACTCTAAAAAACCGATTCAAAGTTCTTACAACTAGGCCATATTATCCTTTTTGATTCCAAGTAAGGGTTGTCATAGCATGTTGCATTCTTCACAATTGGATCTTGCAAAATGGTGGTCCTGATAAGCTAGTCTATTCTGAGCGAAGATGGTTTGAAAATTACCCAAGATCACCAGGGCGAGTTCAGCGTGATTTGCGTGAAGAGCAAAGAGAGGTGCTGCGAGATAGAGACAATATGGCAAGAAGGATGTGGAGAAATAGACATAATGTTAGGCATGGATGATTTGTGCTGTGAAATTCTGTTCCTGCATATATGTTTTTATCTTACTTTAGGAACAAACTAGTCCATACAAAGAACAATGTATGCTTGAATTGTATTGCACTGTAATGCTGTGTATGCTTCCTATATTTACATGATTTAAGTGGCGGAACAACTGAACCATGTCATTCTTGACTTGTTATCATAATGTTTTATACTTTTTGCAGCAATATGGCAGGGAACAATGTGGTTTGGCAGCCCCAGGTTGTTGAGGAAATGTTGCGATACTACAAGGAGAAGATACTGGCTGATGGAAGACAACTTGTATTTAAAGAAGTCCATCATGAGGAATGTGCAAAGCAAATTAATGGCAAGTATCACACAAACTTCACAAGTCGACAAGTTTATCACAAGTTTCACAAGTTGAAGGCTCAGTGGAAGGTGATTATGGAGGCAAAGAATTTGAGCGGGGCCAATTTTGATGACGTTGAGAAAAAAATCCTATATGATGAGACTGAAGTTGTTCGAATGACTAATGTGAGTGTTCTAACTATTCTTTCCTAGCAAATAACTATCGTGTTTACACTATATGGATGTCTATGTTTCTTACCATTTTATTGTCATGTGTAGGCCAAAGATAAAAGGGCTAAATTCATTAACGTCCCCATACGTTGGTATGATGAAATGGAGTTTATTTTTCAAGACAAGCATGCAACAGGGGAATTTAATGTTATGCAAACACCATATGACCGTCCAATGGAAGATGATGATTTTATTGGTGATAAAAATGGCAGTCCTGGTGATGTTGACCCTTCATCAAATTATGGCTCAGATTGTCTTCCAGATCAAGAGAACAATACTGGAAGTAGCTCATCTTCTAGGCGTGCAAAAGGTAGAAAAACTGATAAAGGTAAAAGAGTTAGAGCTGATGATAATGTGGTTTATGAGATAACAGGGGCTATGGATAATATGTCTGAAACCATGCGTTTCACACATATGACACATCCAAATGAATCCCTATTCAAGATAATTGATGAGATGACGGAATACCCTGTCATGGTTCGACTTGAGCTACAGACTTACCTCGCGACCCATGAGAATATAGCTGCCATGTTGAAGAGTAGACCACTGGATTCTATTAAGAAATATGTGGCACAATGGATAATACAAAACTATCCAGCTGCTATGTAATTTCTTTGCTGAGATGTTTGAATAATTACTATGCATTCAAGCTAAATAGTTTAAGAATGAAACGTGCAGTTTAGATATTATTTGAATAATTGATATGCTTTGGTTCGAACTTGTAATAAAGTAGTTCAAAAAGATATTTGATTGTTTCAAGGAATTCTTTTAGCATATAGCTTTGCCCTTTTTACTACTTCTATCTGTACTATTCTTGTGGCCAAGTTAACTGTGAAAGAATCTGTAGTGTTCTTGTGACAAAGCCATCAATTAAAAAAATTTGATCTGTGTGCAATATTATTTTGCTCAATATGAAAAGAAGCGGCACAAAATACTCTAAAGAGCAAGATAATTCGTTGAAGGAACCAAATGGCTAGCCACTAATTCTTGCCATAGAAAGCAAACCAACCAAACAAAGGGTATATGGCAAGCCTGGCAAGCTGGCAACGAGTTGGCTTGCCCTTACCCAGCTAGGCTAGCTGGACAATAGAACCAAACAGACCTGTAGTTGCTGTGCAGAGAGACACCACCTTGATTGTGGATTTCAAGGTTGCGCCGGTCGTGGCCGATGGTGGCGGCGGCTCCTCCGATCGTGTCCATCGCTTCTACGCCTTCAATGCAGAAGCACATGATTATGCTTTCTAGCGGATCCAACTTGATTTCACCACTATAGATATACGGGTTAATTGGTCGAATCTGTTCTAATAATTTTGTAACCTACTAGCGTTTTTTATTCGATTACTCTGGTACTGTGCTAACGCTATGACAATACGTCATAATACAATGGTGATTAACATAAAATGAAATTCTTGTTGAGAATCAAACAACTTCACTGTGTAAATGAAAATGATGATGAATTGTTCCTCAGCACGAAAAACTTACAAACACACAAAACTCAATTATATGACAGCTTCACTTGAGCTTAACAAGGGTTCTCTGAAAGAAAAATGAGCAACACATACAACAATAGTGCAGACCAAACATAGTTTACAGGGTCATTCACATGTAACTACAAGTGCAATAAACATGCTTTATTCTTTTCCAGCCTCTAGAAATATGGATATTGCTTCAAAAGAATGGGAGCTAATAGTTCATCCATCCCTATTCCCAAGTTAATTTAGGAATGCTGACTTTGAAGATCGTCAGATTTCCAAACAACATTATTTAAGGTGTTGGAGAGGTTCTTGTAGAACTACATAAATGAAAATTTATATGATTCAGTACAGGGCATTCAATCAAAGACTGAAAAATTAAATCATAAATTATAAATGAGTGATATCCAATTTACTAAGGCCTGGTTTAGTTCCCAATTTTTTCTTCAAACTTCCAACTTTTCCATAACACCAAAACTTTCCTACACACACAAACTTCTAACTTTTCCGTCACATTGTTCCAATTTCAATCAAACTTTCAATTGTAACGTGACCTAGACACACCCTAAGTTGGAGCATAATAGGTTGGGATCAAATCTTATCAGATTAATGACTCACTTTTCCAATGAAAGCCCATGAACATCAGCTTTTAATTGACATGATCGTCATGTAAAATCTACCTCATGGAACTCCAAGGTGTCACCTTTTCCTACTTCAACCAAATGAAGAGAGGGTGTAATCTGTGGTATCAGAATAATAATGCACAATAACAGTTAGATTGAAGAGCTAACACAAAGCACATGTATAGCAATTTTTCATATTGTCCCAGTAGCGAATTCCTTTTGCCCTTTTTTTTAACCTTTTCCAGCAACTGTTCAATCAACTAAAAAAATTCAACATGCAAAAAAATATCAATTTCAATTTGCTATAGATTATGCATTTATGCCTAGAAGGCTGGAACCTTTTTTTAAAAATAAAAGGAGCTAGAAAAAAATGCATGTGCGTTGCAAGGGAAGAAAAGACGAGAAAATTGAGAAAAACTTGAGAAAGATTTACATTATGTAATTAATTAAAATACAAATTTCACCATCTTCTTCATATAAAGAAAATCTCTCTATATACATATACGATGTTGAAGAAAAGAAAGACCCATGAATAAACCGGCATAGGCTGAAGGTCACAACAATTACCTGTGATCACAGTAATAGTCCCAGGGTATATAAGCTAGTACTCACAGAATAATAGTGAAACTCAGAAATAACAAAGCTTTATTATAACATTGGCGGAGGTCTCAAACTACTACCATCGTGGACAAACCCTAGATTGGTGGAAACCCTGGAAAGACAAGGTATATGCAGGCGGAAGTATATATAAAAGCATAATGACAACTATAAATCCACAAGCTATGTTTGGGAACTAGGCTTGAAACCCTAAGAAATCGTACTCGGCCTGCTCTTGAAAGTAGGCTTTGACAAAAGGGTCAAGGTATCCTTCCTCTAACTCTATAATATAAATATAAAAAATAGTGAGTACTCAATGTACTCAGCAAGCCAGGAAAAAATATGACATGCAAGGCTAAAACAAGGAGTGGAACGGTTTCATTTGGAAAACCCAAGATGTTTAAATGATTTAGTTGCAAACTTCTAGTGTGTCAAGTTTTAGTTTCGAAGTAAGGCTCACGCCTCACTCCATTCCACAAGTTGCTTTGCAACAACCTGTCATTGTAGTAATAGAAAAACATAAACACCGTGCCATCTTAGCACTACTCCGGCTATCTCAGCCACTCTAACACGACCTTCTCAGCCCTAAAGCACACCTTGGTGCCAATCGACACCCCGAGTCACACAGGCTCGTTCCCAACCACGAAGGTTGGCTGTCTGCCACGAAGGCAAACTCTGGTAAGGATTCCCATTACACGAATCAATTTAATAAGTCTAAAACGAACACTATGTTATGAGAAACACCTCACATCCGTCCATAACCGTGGGCATGACTATTTAAAAAGTTTAACTAAACTCTACAAAAGTTGCACGCTTTACCCACACGTCATGAACGTTTCACATTACCGAATACATGTGGATCGGACATGGCCGACAAAGGAGAGTTCAATACAAGGCTTTTCCATAACCAATCCATAAATATCCTATGTCCCACGGTTGGGTGGAATCTCTCCACCAAACATCAAGCCAGGATCAGGTCCTCATCTACCCATGCCCCACTCCATGGACTCCGACACATCCCCACTGCAGGAGATTGCCATATACGCCACCATACCAGTGCTCCTCAACCGCTAACATGTTGGACACCAAATTCTATATACTTATATAGTTCATCTCCACTAAGTGTAGTTAATTACATTTCTCTCTTCTCTCATTAAGCCACATCACCTCAATTATTTTTAGCCTTTAGATGATAGATCTATGGTCCAAATTGTCTTTTCTTTCTTCTCTCTTAAAAACATGCAATCTTAAATACTTTTAGGCTCAAAATTGTATCAAATTGTTTTAGTTTTGTACATATTATGCAACTTAATTTTTCGCCGCAACGCGGAGGGGTATTTCATCTAGTATTATTTAAGAGCTATACACACTGCTATAGGGGAAAAAAAAGATAGGTTTGGCCCCCTGGTCAGTCCTGTTGCACGGCTATATGTTGAAGGGAAAAAGCCAGTACGTTTTGTAGGTTGTTTTTTTTTTAGAATTGCTAAAAAGTTGTGGCATGTTTTTTAGGTAAAAGCCTTTAAATATAAGTTACATTGTAACTACAGTGTAATTCCGCTGTAACTATATTGTAATCTCTATATAAGTTAGATATAAAATTACATATATATTATTTTAATACTTATTTATAAGTTAGTATATTATAGTTATAATGGAATTAATTATAATTATAGTATAGTTAGATTTGAAAGTTTTTCCTTTAAGAAATTTCGCAACAGTTTATTAGATATAGTCCCTAAACGAAAATGTCAGGTGGATGCATGATTCAGTGTGACGCTCGGGCGGATCACGGCTGCGTCACGAAAATTCCCCCCATGCAACCCGCGTCCGGCCGTCCTTCGTGCCAACAGGCAACAGCGCGGCGCCGGCGAACGTCACGCCCAAGATTATATTCCCCCTCTCGCGCTCGCGCGCGCCGCGACGTCGTCGGAGCCAACATTATTTTTCTGTTTCCTGTCACCGTCGCCGTTGATCTCAAGCGAGATTTGAGGTTTGGCCACGACGACGCCTGCCTATAAATACCAGGTGGTGGTCACCGCCCGGCGGCGTCGATCGATCCGTCGCAGTCGTCTCCGGCGAGAAATCGGCTGCGCCCCGTCTCTCTCTCTCTCGAACGCTTCCATGGCGCGCTTCCTCCTCCTCCTCGTCGCCGTCGCCGCTGCCGCCGCCGTGCTTTCGGTACACTCATGATGCCGCTACTCAGCTGAGCCATGCACCGTTGCACCCGTATACTAACGATCGCTCGATCGACCGACGATGTGTGTTCTTCAGCAGCTGGGCGACGCGGCGCCGTCGACGGCCGAGGTGTTCTGGCGCGCCGTGCTGCCGGAATCCCCGTTGCCGGACGCCTTCCTCCGCCTCCTCCGCCCTGGTCGGTGTCCTTCCTTCCTCCTTCCGCCGCCGCGCGCCGCCATTACTCTCCTCGAGGTTTGATTTGTTTGTGGACGTTGCAGACACCAGCTTCGTCGTCGGCAAAGCGGAGGCGGCCGGTGGCGCGGCGCGGACCGGATTCCCCTTCGATTACACTGACTACAGGGGATCTGATTCTCCGACGACGGCGAGTGGTTTGGACCTCGCCGGTGACTTCGGCGAGCCGGCGCCTTTCGGCTACGACTACAGTGCACAGGGCGAAGGCGGCGGCGGCGGCGCCGCCGCCGCCGCGGGAGAGCAGGTTCTTGCCGTCGACGCGGGCTTCAACTACGACAAATACGTCGGCGCGAGGAAGCTCCGCGGCGGCAGCAGCACCGCCGGCGGAGAGAATGATGACGAGCCTTTCGGGTACGACTACAAGGCGCCGAGCAGCGGCAGCGGCACCGCGGCGTCGACGACGGCGCGAGGCGTCGGCACGGGCGCCACGACGACGGTGTTCTTCCACGAGGAGGCGGTGCGCGTCGGCGAGAGGCTCCCGTTCTACTTCCCGGCGGCGACGACGTCGGCGCTGGGCTTCCTGCCGCGCCGCGTCGCGGACTCCATCCCGTTCACGGCGGCCGCGCTGCCGGCCGTCCTCGCGCTGTTCGGCGTCGCGCCGGACACCGCCGAGGCGGCCGGCATGAGGGAGACGCTGCGCACGTGCGAGTGGCCGACCCTCGCCGGCGAGTCCAAGTTCTGCGCCACGTCGCTGGAGGCCCTGGTGGAGGGCGCCATGGCGGCGCTCGGGACACGCGACATCGCCGCGCTGGCGTCGACGCTGCCCCGCGGCGGCGCGCCGCTGCAGGCGTACGCCGTCCGCGCCGTGCTCCCCGTCGAGGGCGCCGGCTTCGTGGCGTGCCACGACCAGGCGTACCCGTACACCGTGTACCGCTGCCACACCACCGGCCCGGCCAGAGCTTACATGGTGGAGATGGAAGGCGACGGCGGCGGCGATGGCGGCGAGGCGGTGACCGTGGCCACCGTGTGCCACACCAACACGTCGCGGTGGAACCCGGAGCACGTCTCGTTCAAGCTCCTCGGCACCAAGCCCGGCGGCTCGCCGGTGTGCCACCTCATGCCGTACGGGCACATCGTCTGGGCCAAGAACGTGAAGAGCTCGACGGCGTAGGGCTCCAACTCCGGCGACGGCATTGTGAGCTATGCACGATGCATTATGCATCTTTTTATGTATGTTATTCGTGTCAGCTGCTGTAATGTCCACATCTAGAGGGATTATACTACCTGTAATAAATAACAGTTTGTGCCGCTGTGCTTATATTATCACATGAACAAAACTAGCTAGGTGGCCCACCCAATTGCGCGGCTAGCACCTATACAAAATTATATATTTTTATATGATAAGGTTTGAAAGACCAAACCCTATCATTCTTGTGTTTCTAATTTTATAATTTTACACCAGTTGCTACCCGTTACTTCTGTCATATCATTTTTTATTTGCTTGCTTGATCTATCACTGTTTCTATTCATTCTCTTTGGAACTTTTTAAAATTGGATCTTATAGTTTTAGAGTTTATCGTCTCGTCGGGTTTCGTTTTTATAATTTATAGAATTCCCGTCAAACGCTGCCATTATACTCCTCTACGGCCCGTCCACTGTATGTTCTCTTTGTTGTCATTGGTATTTTAAAAATCAAACATAATTATCGTTTAGGTTCATATTTTTAGTTTCTAGAAGTTCCGTCAAAACGTCAGCGACTTTGTCACTGTACTCCAATACGGCTCGCCCGCTGCCTCCCTTCTTTATTCTCATTGAGATTTTAAAATCAAACATGATCATTGTTGAGGTTTATTTTTTTACTTTTCAGAAGCCTGAACCTTTTAAAATTGGACCTTATGGTTTTTATAATTTATTGTCTCGTTGGATTTCATTTTTTATAATTTTTAGAAATCCCATCAAACGTTGCCATTATACTCCTCTATGACCCGTCCACCGTCTATTTTTTATTGTCATTGGGATTCTAAAAATCGAACCTAACTATCGTTGGAATTCTTTTTTTTTTACTTTCTACGGTAGCTTTGCCAATGTACTCCCGTACAACCCGCCCGATGCCTCTCCTTTTTATTGTCATTGAGATTTTAAAAATTAAATATGATTATTGATGGGGCTTATTTTTTTTATTTTCTAGAAGTCCCGCCAACCGCCTTGACCGGTTGCTTCACTACCTGCCCGCCATCATTCTATTTAGTGTTTTATTAATAGTTTTAGATGTCCCATTAACCGCCACCACTCTACTCCTTTATTGGACTATTACTTAATTAATCACATCATGTGTTTTAGATGGTCTTTTCTTCCAATGGTCTTTATTTTTTATCACCAATTTTAGTTATTTATAAATTGTATTCCTAGTTGAAATCTTATTTTTCTTTTTTCTAATTTTAGAGTTTATTTTATTTTTTATTTCGAATTTTAACTAATAATGTATTGTGTTCTTTTAATATTTTATTTTTTTATTCATTTTAGTCGTTTTAAAATTGTATTCCTACTTGAACTCTCTTTTTAATTTGTCCAATTTCGGATTTTATTTTATTTTTCATTCCGAATCTTAATTAATCTCGTATTGGGTTCTTATATGCACTCTTATTTCAATATTGCTTATATTCAATTCCGAATTTCAGCTAATTTTAAATCGTATTCCTAGCTGAACTCTTCTTTTCTTTTTTTCTAATTTCGATTTTTTGTTTTTTTATTTTGAATTTTAATTAATCTCGTAGTTGGTTTTTATATGTACTCTTCTTCCAATATTGCTTAATTTTAATTCCGAATTTCAGTTATTTTAAAATTGTATTCCTACACGAAGTCCTCTTTTTTCTTTTTCTAATTTCGAAATTTATTTTATTTTTATTCCGAATTTTAATTAATCACGTATTGGGTTACTATATGGAATCCTCTTTCAATATTGCATATTTTTAATTCCGAATTTCAGCTATTTTTTATTGTATTTCTATTTGGACTCTTCTTTTCTTTTTCTCCGATTAATGTGGGAATTTCTAGCCTCCACAGCGAACGTGGTGCCTCCTTTTAATGTTGTTTTAATAATATAACTAGCTGGGTGGCCCCGCGCAATTGCGCGGCTAGGATCCATATAAAACTATATATTTTTTAATATGATTTTATTTAAAATTTATTAAATAGTTACCTCGTTGTCTTATGATTTTGAAAGACCAAACCTTATCATCCTCGTGTTTCTAATTTTATAGTTTTTAAAAATCACACCAGTTGTTACCCTTTACTTTTGTCATATTATTCTTTATTTGATTGCTCGATCTACCATTGTTTCTATTCATTCTCCTTGGAATCTTTAAAAATTAGATCTAAAAACTTATAGTTTTTAGAGTTTATTATCATGTTGAGCTTCTTTCTAGAAGTCCCGTCCATCGCTGCCATTATACTTCTCTACGACCATTCACTGCATCTTCTCTTTATTGTCATTGCTATTTTAAAAGTCGAACATAATTATCGTTTAGGTTTATTTTTTTTACTTTCGAGAAGTTCTGCCTTAACGTCAGCGACTTTGTCCCTGTACTCCTCTACGGCTCGCCCGCTACTGCCCTTCTTTATTATTATTGAGATTTTAAAATCAAACATGATTATCATTGGGGTTTATTTTTTACTTTTTAGAAGCCCGAACCTTTAAAAATTGTACCTTATAGTTTTTAGAGTTTATTGTCTCGTTGGGTTTTTTTATAATTTTTAGAAATCTCGTTAAACACTACCATTGTACTACTCTACGACCCGTCCACCGCATACTCATTGTGATTGTAAAAGTTGAACATAACTATCATATTTTTTTACTTTCTAAAAGACCCACCAACCATCGGCGGCTCTACCATTATACTCCTATACAACCCGTCTACTGCCTCTCATTTTTATTGTAATTGAGATTTTAAAAATCAAATATGATTATCATTGGGTTTACTTTCTAGACTGTTAGGAAAAAAAAAACTTGGCTTCTTTACATGATGGCTTCTTCAATTGTTCCCGTTCCAGTGAAGAGGCAAGAACAGCAGAAGTACTCAACAATTCACATCTCACAGAAGAATTTGACGAGAAACTATCCCACTACAGATAAGGAAATATAAATTTGTACTGGACATGATAAAAAAATGCCAAGGAAACAGGTACTTGCAATCGTATTACAGTTTTGTCAAGAGCTGACACAGCTAATCTTCAGGTCACACATCAGAATTTTGAACGGCAGGTGGCTACATTTTCACTTGAATATGACAGAATTCTATCTGCCAATCACGATAATCAACATAGCGTTGCTCTTAAACCCTTGCAAAGCCGGGTTGCATGTATCTAGATTAATTAACTCTAGCAGTTACAACTCACAACAACGGTTGGAATAGAGGAAAAAATGACTACGTCCGCTAGGTGGAGAATACCTTTCATCTTAAAAACATCTTCAGTTGATCAAAATCTCCTCAAACAATAAACAGTGCATCTCATGGTGAAAGTTCACACCCACACACAGGGAACACGAATCCGGAGGGCCAGAGAGTATCGTAATCTTCATTCATCAATCGATCTTCACGGATGAGAACAGATAGTGCACGAAGGAGAATGATGTCAAAAATCCAATGGTTCCAGTGGCCAGCATGATTGCAAATGCCATGAGGAATGAGTAACCAAGGTAAAGCATGGCAGAGACAGGCCCGCTCAGGCTTCTGAGGTCAAATACCAAGTAGTTGATGGAGTAGAGGAACACATAGATTGCAACAGATCCTGAGGCAAAGAAAGCTTTCCACCACCACCTCCAGTCCTCCACGCAGAGGTTCATGTATGTCAGAACAACAGAGACCTCAGCGCAGACAATGACAAGCAGCACAAGGACAATTAGCAGAAAGCCAAACACATAGTAGAACCTTCCAAGCCAAATGCTTGACAGAATAAAGAAGAGCTCAATGAACAGGGTTCCGAATGGCAGTGTTCCTGCACCAAGGACAAGAAGCCATGATGGGTATTTCCGTGCAGGGATCTCTCTCGGGATCTGGTTGGTACGGACAGGAAACTCTATCTGCGCTGATCTTGTACCAACAAAGCCACCAACAAGAGTTAACGGCACAGATATGCAGAACCACATAGCTAAAAGGGCGAAAAATAGTGAGATAGGTAAAGCTCCAGTGCTCTTGCTTCCCCATAAGACGAAGTTTAAGACAGTAAGGACCATGAACAAGACACCAGGGAAGAAGCAGGCAGTTAACCAGGACACTGATCTCCACCCTTCAGATGTGCCCTTAATAGTCTTCCACAGCCGCACACTGACATATCCAGCTGCAATACCAAGGAAAAGATAGAGAATGATCATCCCAGTGAGAAGCATTCCTCTTGATGCTGGAGACATGAACCCAAGTGTGGAGAAAATAATTGTTACTATTGCCATGCCCAAAATCTGAACACCATCACCAATCATGACACACAGCAGCTTAGGGCAAGTTGGCTCTCTGAATACATCTCCCACAACAAGCTTCCACCCAGATAGCTCCTCATTCATCTGTGCCTGCGCCTCCTTGTCGAGTTCTTCATACCTCGTCAAGTCCCTCCTGACAGTTCTCAAGAATATAACAAAGACAATACCAGCCAAGAACAGGATCACCATTAGGGAGTTCATAATGGAGAACCAGTGGACTTTAGCACCTGCCTCCATCTTCAGATAAGCATCCCACCTAGATGGCCACTTGATGTCACTCTTCACAAATTCAACGTCATAAGTGAAAGTGATCCTCTCCTGTTGCCTGATCACCTGAGACTTCTGAAGCTCCATTGGGCAGCTCACAGGTTCAATGCTGTCATACATGTTACTCTTGGAGAAAGCCTCGGCATCACGCTTCACACTGCAAGGCACAACCTCAAAACCAACAATCTGATACCCAGACATCCCCTTCTTGTCAAATTCCGAGATGACACCAGATCCTTCTTCCCCAGTGCCAATGATCTCCACATTCCTGCCCTCGTACTCATGGACCAACACCTTAAACTTTAAATGGTTAATGATGTAATCTTCCGAGATTCCAGCTGGAGTGTAACCAACAGGAAAGCCAGTCCACTGTACAGTGATACCATTCTGCTCAGTAAAACGCATGACAGGCAAATTATCCAGCATCATGTTAACCTGGTAGAGGTCACGTGTGCGCTGCTTGAGGAGCTTTGCATCATTCTCATTAAGCCCTTTTGTGGTGCAGAGGTAGAGGGACTCGTTAACATTCACACGGAACCTGTAGGGTGAATTGTCTATCTGATCACCCATGAGAAGTTCACCGAGGTTCTCAGCGCTCTTCTTAATGCCGCCT